GTTGTCAGACCACCCTGCTTATAGCTTGCAAACATCCTGGCTCCCACCCAAAGTGGCTGACCATCACACTTGTTGTCAGTTCCCCAGATATTTTTGTTTTGGGCCACTCCTTGCGGCACGCGGGATCTTAGCTGCCCAATCTTAGTTCCGTGACCAGGGATCGAACCCGTGCCCCCTGCAGTGGAAGCTCGGAGTCCTAATCACTGGATGGCCAGGGAAGTCCCCGTTTCCCCGAATATTTGTTGAGTGTCCCTGAAATCCCAAGCAGGTGCTCAAGGCAGTGAAGGTTTGGTAAACCTGACAGCCTCTGGTCTCCCGGGGCCACATTCCAGGTGGGGAAGTCTGGCAGGACGCACGTGAACAGGTCACTTCGGATGTTATGAAGGAAATAAACGAAGAGGTGGGGGCAAGGGGTGGGGGCTGCCGCCTGGCTGCTGGGTCAGGGAAGGCGCAGAGGACCTGGTGGTTGGGCTGAGGCCTGATGGAGCGAAGGGGGCAGCGGGAGGAGACGGGGACCGGGCAGAACCTTCCGGGCGGGAGGAGCCGCGAGTCCGAGGCCCCAGAAGGGAGCACACGGTGTGTTTTGGGGACAGAAAGAGGGCGGGGCTGGAACCAGCACAGAGCGGGGAGGGCAGACAGGCCCAGGTCACACAGCCTGCAGCGTGGGGAGGTGACATTCTGCCCGCGGTGGGAACCCCCTGGAAGCTTCTTAGCGGGAGAGCCGCGTGAGACTGGTGTGGCAGCTGCTTGCAGGGGGACCGTGGGGGCAGAAGGAGGGCAGGGAGGCTACAGTGGGGAGCCACTGTCCCCACGTGGGTGAGCGAGGATGGTGGCCTGGACGGGGAGGCGGCGAGAAGCTGGCAGACCTGGGTGCATCCTGGAGCCGAGCTCGCAGGACTCTCCCTGGATTGTTTCAGGGACGTGGCAGAAGAGAGCCGGGGGTGAGGCCTCAGCGTCAGCCTGCATCTGAGCTGATGGCAGGAGAGGAGCGGATCTGAGCGGGAAGCGCGGGCCGTGTTCCGTTTGGGTTGCTTGTTAGACGTTGATGCTTGTTAGACGTTGAACAGGAGACGGGGGAGGAGGTAGCATCTCAGGAGACGGGGGAGGGGACAGAGAAGTGGAGAGTCCCCAGCATACAGGTGACATGTAAGCCGTGAGATTGCCTCGCAGTGAGGGAGGGAGTGGGACGGGGATGAGAAGAGGGCCCAGGACCCTCCAGCGGTCAGCGGTCAGTGCCAGGAGGGACGTGGCCGGGAGGTGGGGCGGAAGCCAGGTGTGTGGCCCTTGGCAGCCCTGGGAGAAGGGTTTGGGGAGGGATGCTCACAGCCCCCTGCTGCCTCTTGGCCCTCGTAGGCCTTACCCCCCCAGGAACCTGGGGGTGGGTGGAAGTCCCTTGTCACTGAGGGCTTCCTGGCCACTTGTGCCTCAGGTCAGGAGCCAGCCACCCATCACCCAGGATGTCACTTCTGATATCCTCTCTCAGGTGACACAGAGCAGCCCTTAGCTGCCTCCAGCCTCGCCCGGCCCCTCGTCCTCGCTTGCTGGTGTGTGGCGTGTGTGACGGCTCAGGCAGTGGCCTCTGTTCTTGCCATCCACTCCCCCTGGGGACTTTGTCCTGTTCGTTTTTTGGGCACTTGCCTCCTGGTTAACTAGCATACTTCGCGCTCTGTTCTGTCGTTTGTTGGTTTCATTGGGTGGTTGTCTTCTCCCTCGTTTTCAGATTAGAAGTAGCCCCACCTTACAAATGAGAAAACGGGGGGGTTAGGTGGTTGGTCCAATGTGGTCCTGGCAGCCTCAGGCCTGGGTCTCACTGTGTGCATGGTCCACGGCTCGTGGCTCCCAGCCCAGCGCTCTGGTCCCCCTGTTCCACCCACAGCCGCTCCAGCCACGGGAGCCTGCCCCTCTCTCCAAGGCCCGGGAGGATCTTCTGCCCTCCTACCCAAACGCACCCAGCTGCCTAGGGCTCAGCCTCCTTGGGCTCCGGCTCCAGACAGAGCGTCCTGGGAGCCCAGACGGACTAGAAGTCAGGGGATGGCCCACAGCCCGGCCCCCTCCTCCTCCATCCCTGAGTCCCTGGCTCCTTTCTAAATGGATTAGGACCTTTGCCGGAAGGAGCCAGCAGCCGTCTGGGGCGACCGGAGGCCAGGGCTGGCGCGCTGTCTGGTGCCTCCTGCTTTGCCCTGATTCGATTTGGGCTCCAGCAGCTGGGAGGCTGGCAGCCTGAGGCCTTTCTGGAAGTGGCTCAAGGGACTGGGGGGCAGGGGGCGGCTGAGGGGAGGAGGCAAGACTTCACGCGCCCCAGGCAGGCAAACCTCTCAGCTGGTCGTGCAACAGACCTGCGATTGGGCTTCGTGCCACAGAAGGCCCCTGGCTGATGCTTGGTCCATTAGCAGGTCCCACTGGGGCCTGTCATACCCTCAGCATCCCTGATAACGTGGGTTTCGAGCTTTTATTAAAAATAAGGCAACCGGGACTTCCCTGGTGGTCCAGTGGTTAGGGCTCCACGCTTCCAGTGCAGGGATCACAGGTTCGGATCCCTGGTCGGGGAACTAAGATCCCACATGCACACAGCACGGCCAAAAATAAATAAATAAATAAGGCAACCTAGGAGAAGAAATACATTTTATAAACATTTCGAAGTGAACCCATACACATTTTGGCCAACTGCTGACCTGGCCAGTTATTTTGTTTTTGTTTGTTTTGTTTTGTTTTAATTTATTTTATTTATTTTTGGCTGTGTTGGGTCTTCGTTGCTGCGCGCCGGCTTTTCTCTAGTTGCAGCGAGCGGGGGCTACTCTCCGTTGCAGTGCGCAGGCTTCTCGTTGCGGTGGCTTCTCTTATTGCGGAGCATGGGCTCTAGGCGCGCGGGCTTCAGTAGCTGCAGCACACGGGCTCAGTAGTTGTGGCTCGCGGGCTTAGTTGCTCCACGGCATGGGGGATCTTCCCAGACCAGGGCTCGAACTCGTGTCCCCTGCATTGGCAGGCAGATTCTTAACCCCTGCGCCACCAGGGAAGTCCCTGGCCTGTTATTAAAATCAGTATTTATCTACAGCCAAGTAGCCAACTTGGGCCAGGACGGAGTCCAGAGCCAAGCTCTGCTGCATCCCTAATTCCTTTGAATGTTTCCGTCTCCGTCATTGGATGCATCTCACCTTGTTATGTGTGACGTGCTCTGATTGCTGTTCCGTGTCATCGATTTTACAACCCACTAAAAGGCTACAGTCTGTGGTTTGGACTACACTGAGCTGGACGCTGGGAGTGCAGCAGTGATTGGCAGACCAGTCCCTGACCTCATAGAGCTTACAGTCCAGGGGGCAGAAGACACTATGGACTTGGCACTATATTAGGTGCCAGGCCCAGCCATCACCTACCCAGGACCTCCGACCCCCAACCCCAGTTACATGCACAGACTCCTTTACCCCCAAGAAGCAGAGAGGGCAGGACTCACAGGCTCCCTCCGATGCCTGCAGCTCTGTTCCCTGATCCCACCCCTGAACTGGCCACCTGGGGCCCTTGCACAGAGCACTAGAAGGTCTGAGCCCGGGGAGGGAAACTGAGCGTTCCTGCCTCTGCCCTCTACCTTCTCCTTTGCTTGGATTGGCGAGGGGACAGCTGCCCCATAGGAAGATGCTGGCACTGGGGCATCCTGTGGGTGGGCCCCCTGGACCTGATTCCTGGGTCAGGAAAGGGAGGGGCAGGATGGATCGGGGACCGAGGGAGGCTGACCTTTGTATCTAGTGGGGCCCAGGCCCGGCTGGGTAATACAGGGCCAGCAGACTTGTTCCCTGCCTGCTGTAGCCCCGATATGACGCCCTGATCTGAGGGCGCCTCAGCAAGGGGGGAGGATACAGCTCTGTCTTCCGGGAACCTCATGACGAGGGGCAACGTCCTATGTTGGGGAAACCTCACCTGAGGTGAAGGGGCCTCTGCCCCGTGGTATCTCTCTGCACCTCTGAGATTCAGTCCTGGAAGCCAGGAAGTAGACCGAAATTCCACGGCCTTGGGGTGGCGGCCTTCCCCCGGGGAGCATGTGACTTGATACACAGCTGCGATGGGGGGCTTGGGGACAGGTGGGAGGCCAGGGACACCTGACCAGCCTGGGCAGGAAGGGGCAGGAGGTGGGGCAATCCGGGGCACCTTCCCAGCAGAGGTGAAAATTAAAAGCTAAGGGGGCAGGGCTTCCCTGGTGGCACAGTGGTTGAGAGTCTGCCTGCCGATGCAGGGGACGTGGGTTCATGCCCCGGTCCGGGAAGATCCCACATGCTGCGGAGCGGCTGGGCCCGTGAGCCATGGCCGCTGAGCCTGCGCGTCCGGAGCCTGTGCTCCGCAACGGGAGAGGCCACGACAGTGAGAGGCCCGCGTACCGCAAAAAAAAAAAAAAAAAAAAGCTAAGGGGGCAGTCAGTAGATGCCAAAGGGGCCAGGGAGGGCACTCAGGGAGAACAGAACTGGTGACAGCTGAGGAGCCGTGAAGGATGTCCATATGTTTGGAGGATGGTGACACTTAGAGTGCCTAGAGCATGGGGTATAAGGAGGAGTTGAGGCGAGGGACAAGAGTCTAGACCCTTGAATACCAAGCTGAGGAGTCAGGAGCTAATGTGGGCAGCAGGGCGCTATGGAGGGTGTGTGGGCAAGGGAGGGCCATGGCCAGAGGGGTGTGCGTGGGGAGAGTTGGCGTTTAGGGCCTGCCGGGCACACTGCTTGTGGCTTTGGCTGTGGGGGTGCAGACTCGGGAGACGTGCCCTGAGGCATCCGCCTCCGTTATCCTGCTGTCTGTTCCCACACCTGTGTGCAGGTGCTGTGTGTCCGGGCCTGTCAGAGCTCAAAGCCCATCATGCATGTGAGACCCTCAGGGGAAGAAAAGGCCAGCGCTTGATTTGTCCCACCCGGGAAGTCGAGGTGGCCTTGGGGATCCCGGGGGCCTGGCGGGTTAGTGGTGGCATGCCACGCCCTATGGCCCACGGCCACCTCCGCCTCTTCCCTTCCTCCATCCAGGCGACCATGGCCTTGCTGGGAAAGCGCTGCGACGTCCCCACAAACGGCTGTGGGCCTGACCGCTGGAACTCCGCCATCGCCCGCAAAGACGAGATCATCACGAGCCTCGTGTCTGCCTTAGATTCCATGGTGAGGGCCCCTGCCCGTCCCGGGAGGAGCGGGGCAGCCAGCCTTCGTAAGCTCTGCTGCTCACAGGAGCCCTCGCCGGCCTGAGCCTCAGAGTCCCCGTCTGCTACGAGGCCCGTCTGCCGACGCCGGGGGTGGGAGGCTTAAGTGAGGTCAAGTGTGTGGGACTCCAGCCCTCGCCCCCTCGCCCCCTCACCCTGTCTTCGTTTCGTCACCTCTTACAGTTGACGTCCCGTCCCTGGGATGGTCACAAGTCTGCCTCCCAGCAGGTCACCTGGAGGGTAATGCGTCAGTGATTCATTAGAAAGCTGTCACCCCTGTTGTTAAAGCCAGGGCTGTAACTGCATCACTCCTCTGGCACCCTTGCCTCCGTACCTAAACCTATAGCAGTTTATCCCAAATGAGAAAATAACAGGGAATTCCCTGGCGGTCTAGCGGTTAGGACTCAGAGCTTTCACTGCCAAGGGCCCGGGTTTGATCCCCAGTAGGGGAACTAAGATCCCATGAGCTGCACGGCTCAGCCAAAAAAACAAAAAAGAGAGGGAGAGAGAAAATAATAACGTCATTTTCCTGTAGACTTTTCCTGGGGCAAGTTCTGTGATAGAGGGTGGGCAGGTGTCTTAAAAAAAAAAAAAAAAAATTCTGTCTGGCAACAGGTAGCTGCACCCCCTGCATTTTGGTTCAGTGACGTTGAACTTCAGAGAGGGCAGTACTTTGCCTGATGTCACACAGCATGATCAGTTTTTAAAGTGGGCTCCCAGGGGCAAAGTCTACAGTTTCCCAAGGACAAAGGGCCTCCCTCCAGGCTATTCCAGCTGCAGGCAGCTGAAGGGCTGCTTAGGTGGTATTTGGGGCAGAGGTGGTAGACACCCCTGGGAAGGCCAGCTGGGTTTGACCCCTCCCCTGTACAGAGTGGCCTTCATGAGGAGGGGGGGCCCCAGGAGCTCAGCCCTGTGCCGGTAGCAGTGTCAGCTTGGTGTGGTGGTGGAGGTACAGTTGACACAGGCAGCGACGGCCAATGCCACAGCCACTAGCCACATGTGACAGTCGATATTTAAATTGTAATTTGTGAAAATTAAACAATTCAGTTACTCCATCACACTAGCTTCATTTCAAGAGTTCAGTGGCCACATGTGGCTAGTGGCTGTGGTATCAGACAGTGTAGAAATAGAACATTTTCATCATTGCAGAAATTCCAGGGTCCAGTGCTGGTCTAGAGGGTCTTTCAGAGGGTCCTTGGAGGAGCCAGTGACCCTGTAGCTGTCCTGGTGGCATGAACAAGACAAGCTCCCCCCGCCCTGCGACAAGGCCTTTACAGGTTTCCTAAGGGACCTCGTGGGTGACAGCGGCACTTACTTGGCAGTGACTTAACGCCGGCACCCAGCGGGCCTGGGGCCAGGTTCTCAGGCGGCCCGCAGGAAGACTGGGGCCAAAGTGCTGTCCGTTCATCACCTCCTCCCGCCCAGCCTCAGACACTTTTCCAGGCATTTCCTCCTGACCCCCATTCTCTGTGCCTTTGGGTGAGTCTACTCCCTGCTGTGGCCTCAGCTTCCTCAGCTGAGAAGTGACCATGCAGCGCAGGGAAGGCTCTCCTCCAGCTCTGCTGGCCACTCCTTGGAAACGGTTGAATCCGTTTATCGTCTTTGTTATACAGTGTTGCCACAAGGCAAGGGAGCAGTGGGGTTTGGTTTTCATCTTAGAGAGGCGGAAATGAACACCATCCCTGCCCCCAGGAGCTCCCGGGGGACAGTCCTGCTGGCCCTGAGATGTCCCCAGCTTCCTCACCGGAGCGACTCCAAGCCGGAGCTGGCACTAAAGGCATGATCACGGCTCAGAGAGGTTGTAGAACCTGTCCTAGATCACACAGCAGTGGAACTGCGATTAGAAGCCAGGCTTCCCGACTGTCCGCAGAGCGCTAACTCAGAAAAAAACCAGCATTTATCAAGCACCGACCGTATGCCACGAGCTTTGCAGGCAGGGTTTTCCCAGTGAAGTAGGCCTGAGATGCTGGTGGTCTCGGTCGCAGGGCCTCCTGTGTTAGGGCTTCCTGTGCAGTAGGCCTGCCAATCTCAACTCTGGGGCTGCAAAAAGAACCTCTTTGCCTCATACCCACACGGGATGCCCCGGTTTAGAGACTTTTTCCCACCAACCGGGCCCCATTGAATCCCCACAACAAGCCCATCACAACTCTGGGAGCTGGGCCGCTTGTCCGCATTCTGCACATTTGGAAATGGGGGCCCAGAGAAGGGCGTGACCTGCGGGAAGAGGCCGATGCAGGATTGAAGCCTGGATCTGTCTGTGCCTTGGTTCTCCTGGGACCCCTCCCACCTCCTCATCCAGGACTTGGAGAGAGCCCAGGACAGGATCATCCCTGAGGCTGGGGCCAGGCCCGAGGCAGGAAGCCCACCCCAGAGCAAGGAGGAGGAAGGGGCACAGGCCGCGTCCTCCTCCAGCCCCTGTAACCTTGTCTTCTTCCCCTGACCTTGGCCAAGCTCTGGGGGTGTCGTTCGTTCGTTCCCACTGCAGTCTAAGACCCAGAACGTCGGGACGGTGACCTCTCCCTGGAGCTGCTGGTGGGATCTCGGGCAGCTGGGAGCTCACCTCCCACCCCCCACAGCTGGCACTGGGGGTGTCCGGAGTAGGGGGTCCTTCCCCCGGCTCACACCCCTGCTCCCCCGGCAGTGCTCAGCGCTCTCCAAGCTGAACGCGGAAGTGGCCTGTGTCGCTGTGCACGATGAGAGCGCCTTCGTGGTCGGCACCGACAAGGGGAGGATGTTCCTGAATGCCCGCAAGGAGCTGCAGTCAGACTTCCTCAGGTTCTGCCGTGAGTACCCGGGGCTCCAGAGGGCCAGTCCCCACTGTCCCCGAGGGGAGGAGCAACACCGGGTGGCCCTGTGTGGGAGGAGGCACTGGGCAGGAGGGGCTGCCGCAAGCTTCCCAATGTGGCGTCGTCAGGGGCGGCCACGGTTTTCGTTGGAGTCACACAGCAGCCCCTCGGCCGACAGAGACTCCGGGCAGGCCAGACCCAGCTGCCTCCTGTGCTCGTGGACAGAAGGGGACACTGTGGCCCAGTTCCTGTGCGGCCCTGATGCAGGGACCCAGCGCACGTGCTCAGCTAATACTTACTGAGCGCCTGTTGTGGGCGACACCCTTTGAGCACGAACTCACTTACCCTGACGTCAGAGGCTGGCACTGACCCTGTTACAGTAGCAGAATCTCGGAGCCGCCTCCTGGTGGCCCGTGGGGATGAAGTGACTGAGGACTTGTCCAGCACGTAGGAAATGCTCTAGAAACGGGAGCAGTTAGGGATGATGTGATAAATAGAGCCACGGGCTGGGCCACGTGCTGGGGCTGTTTACTGTTCCCAGCAGGCTCGGGAAACAGTCATCACCGGTTTACAAATGAGAAAATGAGATGCATTGAGTGTAACCATAGGGGACACACAGCTGACGAGTGATGGAGGTGGAGTTTGCTCTTTCGGCTGCAACCCTTCAAAACGGGGGATGCAGGGACTTCCCTGGAGGTCCGGTGATTAAGACTCCACGCTTCCAATGCAGGGGACGCGGGTTCAAGCCCTGGCTAGGGAACTAAGATCCCACATGCTACGTGGCACAGCCAAAAAAAAAAAAAACGAGGGATGCAGCACGGGCACCCCCGGGACTCCTGCCAAGGGGTCCTGCTCGCTCCCGGAAGAGACCAGCCCCAGCACTCAGAGCTGTGAGCCGGGACCCCCGAGGCAGAGGGGTCGTTCTGAAGCCCCCACCTCTTCAATGCTACCTAGGCCGTCAGGGCCCCTCATAAGCAGCCCCGGGCTCTGCACTCTCTCCTCCAAGCATCCCTGGTGCTCACCAGGCTGCACTGTGCTGAAGTGCACGTTCCCCGGCTCTGTGTGTCCCTGCTCACCACTGCCTTTTGTCCCTGCTGTTCCCCACCTGGAAGGCCCTCGCTCCTCCCCTCTGCCTGGCAGACGCCTCCCCAGCCTCCAGACTGACATCCCTCCCGCCCCGGCCCCATCGGTGCCCCTCCGCCCCAGCGCCCATGCCTGACTGCCCCCCACCCCTTGCAGCTTCCTGTGCCCTAAACTTCCATCCACGCCTATGCCCCAGCTTAGCGGTGAGCTCCCGAGGCAGGTCAGCTTCCCCTTCATGGTGGATTAAGTCCTATGGGGTTAGAGCCTGGGCGGGCATTCTAGCCCAGAAGTTGGGACTCAGAGATCTTGGGGTTAAGAGCAGGCCCTAGAGGCAGACACCTGGGGCCACATCCTGGCTCTGCCAGCTGCTGCCTGCTGGACCTCAGCCTCTTCACCTGTGAAAGGGGAGGACAGTGCTACCCTGTCCTGGGTCGATCTGAGGATTAAACGAATTAATACACGGCGAGCACGTAGAACAATGCCTGGCACTTAGTTTACACTCACTAAACACCAGCTGTTGTTTTTTGCACCGTTATTAGCATTTCCATCACCCGACCCCGGCCTGGGCCTGGACCCTGGGATCAGCCATTTCTGGGAAGGCTGTTCCCCCCCAACACACACACACACCGTGCTGGGGCGTATCGTTACTGGGGTCCAGCCACTTCCCCAGCCAGCCCCCTCTCCCACCCGGCCCTCAAAACCTGTACCCTCTCCAAGGTTGGGCAGGGGGCTGGACCGGTGTAGGGTGGCCAGTGGCAGGGTCCTGTGGCCCTAGATGGCCAGGCTGGGAGCCAGACTGGGGCCTGGGGCAGGTGCACCTGGCTTCCCAGAGCCAGGCAGATCTGCTATTTATAGCACCGGGAACTTGGCTGGTCTATTTCAAGCTTCTCAGGTCCCAGAGGAGAGCACACTCCAAGCTGGGAGGGGCACCCCCAAGCCCTCTTCTCATCCCCTTTCCAATGCAGTGCCTAGCATCTTCCCAACCCAGGGATCCAGGGACACTCCCAGGCCCCCACCCTGGCCCAGCCTGGCATGAACCTGCCTCTTCCCAGACCCTCAGCTTCCTGGTGGGGTCCCCATTGTCTCCCCATTTGGCAGAGCAGAAAACTAGGGCCTCAACTGGTTAATTCAGAAATAGGTGATGGGGGACTTCCCTGGTGGTCCAGTGGCTAAGACTCCATGCTCCCAGTGCAGGGGGCCCGGGTTCGATCCCTTGTTTGGGGAACTAGATCCCACGTGCATGCCGCAACTAAGAAGTCTGCATGCCGCAACTAAGAGTCCACATGCCGCAACTAAAGAGCCTGCGTGCTGCAACTAAGACCCGGCACAGCCAAAATAAATAAATAATAAATAAATAAATAGTTTTTAAAAAAGAAAAGAAAAAAGAAGTAGGTGATGGAACAGACATTCGTTGAACCCCCGTTCTGAGCCAGCCCATCTGGTCTCTCATGAGAGCTCACAGACTGAGGCCCAGAGAGGGAAGGGACTTGCGTAAGGTCACACAGCGAGTTAGAGGTGAGCAGGGATGAATGCCCTCTGCTGGGCACTGGGAACCCTGAGGTAAGCAGCCCTGGCCCTAGGCAGGGCGGTTGGGGCAGGCCTTACTCACCCACTTATTCTTCCTTCATTCATCCACTTGCACTCCGTGTTGGGTGCCCAGCTACAGGGCTTAGCACAGGGCAGGGACGTCCCAGCTCACTGGGCTGGTGGTGTGATGAGTACTCACCATGGCCCCGCATGCTCTGTGTCCCACAGGAGGGCCCCCGTGGAAGGAGCCGGAGGCAGAGCACCCCAAGAAGGTGCCTCGGGGTGAGGGTGGCAGCCGGAACATCCCACGGTCTGCCCTGGAACATGGCTCGGACGTGTACCTTCTGCGGAAGATGGTAGAGGAGGTGTTTGATGTTCTTTATAGTAAGATCCTTCCTCATTCCATTTGGGGCCCCCAGGCGGGTGGGAGCCCCCAGCCCTGCCCAGAGGAGGAGGCCCCCTCCTGCCCCACTACAGGCCCTGGGTGGAACCTCAAGGCGTGGGTTCCTTCTCTCCCCACCCCCAGCCCTCCCTCATTCTGCATCCCCAGGCGTGGATCTGCCGTCCCAGCCCCGTTCCCTGAACCACCATCCCTACCACCCCTGCCCTGGCGCTGCTCACTGCTCCCTCGTGCCTCGAAGAGGCCCCAGGCTTGCCCTGGTCTGCTCGCCACCAGCCCAGCTCCCTGCTGTCCCCACCTGCCCTGTGACCAAGGGCATCTTCCCAAAGCACAAGTCTGACCACAAAGCTCTTCCCTCCGCTGCCTGCTCGGGCTCCCTGTCACCCTGGGCGTGGCCTCAGACCCTACCACGGCCCGTCCCCAGCCCCCTCCAGCCACACTGACCCACCTCCTATTCTCCCGCTCATTCTGGCTTCATTTCACACCTGCTGTGACCTTTGGGCCGACCTTCCCCTCCTCTGTCTGGTGGACGCCGCATTGCTCTCTAAGGCTCAGCTCCAGGAAACCCCCAGCTCTGAGCTGGGTTAAGGCCTCCTCTGGGCACCCACTATGCCCTGTGTCCTCACTCGCCCAGTTGCTCTCCAGGATCAGGGACTGTATCTGCTCTTTCTGCTGTTCCTAGCCTGCACTTCAGAGCCCAGCAACAGCGGGCTCTCAGAGGGTGTTTGTTGAATGACTGAGTGAAGGCTAACTGCCCAGCCAAGTACTACCTTTGGGGTGGAAGAGGGGAGGGGACAGGCAGGCCTGGTCTCCCTTGGGAAGTGTCAGGTTGCAGAGTCTCTGGCCCAGTGGTGACCTTCACACTCCCTGGGTGACCTCATGCGGGTCCCTTCCGTCCCTAAGGGTCCCACCCCATGATTTCTAATTTGCTTTATTCCTTTCTTTGGTTCTGTGGAGCAAAGGTCGGGGTGGGGTGGGGTGGGGGGACTCCTGTCGTTGTCTAGATGTCAGGAGGAGGCCAAGAGGGGTAGGGGGCCCGGAGGCCCTGGTGGACATGCTGGCCCCGGGGACGGGAGGACTTGTCACGTGTGGTTGGCTGTGCCTTTGCAGACGCTTTTGCCAGATGCAGGGTTCACGCCCAGAGCCCCCTGCACCCCTGCCCACTCTGCCCCGACCCCCCTTGCCTGCCTCGGGCAGAATCAGAGGTGATTGTGAGGGGAGGGGCTTCCTTCTGGCTCCAGGTGGGAGGCAGCAGACGTCTGTGAGCCCAGATGCTCGGCCCTCCCTCCCCTCCCCCCTTCCCGCGTGCTCAGCAGCTTCTCATTCCTGTCTCTCCTCTCTCTTCTGCTTCCTCTCCATTCCTCTCTTCCTTACCTGCCCTCCTCTCCCTCGCTTTCCTTTTCCCTTCCTTCCTGTGGCTGTTTTCTTGCGGTTTCTCTCCCTCACCCCTCTCTCCTCACCCCCTGCTCGCAGCCCTGGGGCCTGCTTTCCCCTCCACCCAGATGCCCAGAGAGGAGAATGGCGGGGGAAGCAGGGAACCCCCTCGATGGGGCAGCCCCAGCCCTCAGGTGCAGGCCGCAGGCCCCTGTCCACAGCCCCTGCCGCCCCCCTCACCGCCGGCAGGGGCTTATTCTGTGGGAGGTTGGCAGTGAAGGGGCCTCTGGGGTCCTGTTTCCCGGGGATCCGGCACCACAGGGCGTCACTCAGCATGGTCCCAGCTCCGGGGCGCGCCCCGTGCTCACCACAGCCCGGCTGCCGTCTCATACTAGGCCCCCTCCTCGACCCCTCCCACAGGCGAGGCCCTGGGCCGGGCCAGCGTGGTGCCGCTGCCCTACGAGAGGCTGCTCCGGGAGCCGGGGCTGCTGGCTGTGCAGGGGCTGCCCGAGGGCCTGGCCTTCCGGAGGCCGGCCGAGTACGACCCCAAGGCCCTCATGGCCATCCTGGAGCACAGCCACCGGATCCGCTTCAAGCTCAAGAGGTGAGTGAGGCAGCCCGCCTGGGAGCGGCCCGGGGCCGGGTGGCTGGACCCCGGGGGCCAGGCCGGGCCGGGCGATGACCTGCTTCCGTGCGGGCTCAGCCGCTCGTGGCCGCTTGTCCTGCCCGAGGGCAGGGGACTTCAGACTCCCACAGGGGACCCTGGTTGTAAGAGCTCCCAGTCCGATGGCAGAGGTGAGGCAGAAACTCAGTCACAGAGCATGCTCTGAGCCAGGTGTGGAGTCATGGAAGTCTTCCCCGGGGGACTTCTGTGTTGCAGAGAGGCTTGGTTGGGGAAGAAATAGCGCCAGTAGCACTCGAGGTATCAGGAACAGCCCGTGCAAAAGCAGGAGGTGGGAAGCCACATCGTGGGTGCTTGCTTGGGTTGCCAGCCGAGGGCTCCATTAGGGACTGACGGGCCATGAGGTCATGGAGGCTGGGCTGGGGAGGGTACCGATCTCTGGGGCAGCCAGGAAGCAGCCTGAGGGCTGAACGTGGCCCGTCAGGGCTCGGGCACCGCGGCTGGCCAGTGCACGAGCGATGCATTAGGGGGTGCGAGACGATCAGCTGCAGCTGAAAGGATGTGATTGGTGGAGAGGGGGCACAGAGGCCAAGGGGCAGGGCCCAGGTCCTTGGATGGCCCAGCCGTGTGGCCCTGGGCACGTCACACCCCCACCCGGGCCTGCACCCCGACCTGTAAAATGGGGACTGGTCATGCATACTTCACGGGCTGTCGTGTTCTGCAGAGGGAGGGCTCGGGGAAGACATACCCCTGGTGGGACAGGTGGATGAAGCTGTCTTGTGTCCTTTCCTTCACCCAGGCCGCTCGAGGATGGCGGGAGGGACTCGAAGGCCCTGGTGGAGTTGAATGGCATCTCCCTGATAGCCAAGGGGTCTCGGGACTGTGGCCTGCACGGCCAGGCCCCCAAGGGGCCACCCCAGGACCTGCCCCCAGCCGCCACCTCCTCGTCCGTGGCCAGCTTCCTGTACAGCACCGCCCTTGCCAACCGCACCGCGCGGGAGCTCAAGCAGGAGGCACCCGCCTGCCCTCTTGCCTCCAGTGACCTGGGCCTCGGCCGGCCCGGGCCTGAGCCCAAGGCCCCCACTGCCCAAGACTTCCCAGACTGCTGTGGTAAGCTGCTGCTGGGACTCCCGAGTCTGGGGGGTGGGGGGGGTGGGGGACAAAGGTCACTCATGCAGGGGCAGCTTCCCAGGGCGGGTCGGGGTGCTCAGGGCTGCAGGGGGCACGTCGGAGCAAGGAGCTGGGGCGGGACAGAAGGTGTGGTAGCTCGGACTCAGTCAGACCCCGGGCCTCTGCCCAGTCATCTGTGAACAGTATCCTTGCCTGGGACCAAGAGATGCCCGAAAGGACTCCCAGGGGAGTCTATGGAGGGAGAGAGTAGACATGCTAATCAGGTACGTGCATTTAATGAGCACCTACTACCTCCACCCAGCGTGGATTCGGGGTACTGGAAGCATAAGAAAAGGAACAGCTGGACATGAGAAAGACCTGTGTCCATATTTTGGCCCCTGTACTTAATGGCTACGTGTCCCAGGGCAAATCTCTACCTCTTTGAGCCTCAGTTTCCTCATCCATAAAATGGAGATGCCAATAGTACCTGTCTCGCTGGGCTGTTATCATGATGAAATGACAGAGCACGTTAGAAATGCACATTCTCAGGCCTAGCCACAGCCCTGCTGAATCTGGCACTTTGGGGGCGGGGTGAGCCCCAGCTGCCTGCAAACTGACGAGTCCACCGAGTGTTTCCAATGGGTGCTCAAGTTTGAGAACCTCTGTATTAAAGCAGCGAGTCCAGTGCTTGGCACAGAGTAGGTGCTTGTAAGTTATACTTAACTGTTATTGTTATTATGAGAAGGAGAAAAAAGGACACCCCCTCCCCGCCGCAGCCATGAGGGCTGAGCAGGGGGATGGGACTTATATGCCTGAAACAAGTGTCCCCATCTGTAAAATGTGACCTGGGACGTCCTGCCCTCCCCGATCTGCCATTCGGAGAGCACACTCTGCTAAAGGATGTCTCAGGCCTCTGGCCAAGGAACTTGCCTTGAGTTCATGATCACAGGGCCCAGTCCTGGGTTCTCCCTGGTGGGGGAGACTGTTACCCCAGAGCCCCAGCCCGCACACTCAGGCCAGATCTGGGGAACCCCTCTTGGGGCCCACCTGGAACCTGTACCTTTCCGCTCCCTTGTCCAGGACAGAAGCCCACTGGGCCTGGCGGTCCTCTCATTCAGAACGTCCATGCCTCTAAGCGCATCCTCTTCTCCATCGTCCATGACAAGTCAGGTAGGACAGTGCCCGTGGCAGCACCCTGACCAGAGTGGGGATCCAGGACTGGGGTGGTGCTTATTACTGAAATGGATGTGTGTCCACTGGGTCTTCGTGAGAGAAAGGAGGAACGGCACCGCACAAGGGACTTGTGAGTGAAACCAGAGTGAAGCCAATATATAATAGTTACATATTGCTGCATGCCAAATTGCCCCCAAACGTAGCTTAAAATGACAAGCATACCTTACGGTTTCTGTGGGTGAGAATTCGGGAGCAGCTTAGCTGGGTGGTCCTGGCTCAGAATTCTCAGGATGTCAGCTGGGGCTGTGATCATCTGAAAGCTCGATTGGGGCTGGAGGATCCACTTCCAGCTCACGCATGTGGCTGTTGGCAGGATACCTATTCAGGGCTGCGTAAGTGTCCTCAAAACGTGGCGACTGGTTTCTTGGAGCTAGTGATGTGAGAGAGAGTAAGGAAGGAACCACGTCTTTTATGACCCAGCCTCAGAAATCACTGTCACTTCTGCCATATCCTACCCATTAGAAGTCAGGAACTTGGTCCAGTTCATACCCAAGGGAGAGAGAGGAATTAAACTCCACCTCATGAAGGAACAAGGGTCAAAAAAATATGTAGACAGATTTTAAAAGTACCACCCAGAACAGAGAACCAGAAGGTTTGGGATTCATTTGTACCAAAAAGGGAGGTAGTGAGACTTTCCAGCAACTTTGCCTTGTGGAGGTCTCAGCCTCACCTTCAGTGAAAGGTTCTTTAAGAAACCTAGTTTCCTGGGATCAGAATGGAGACCACCACTGCCACAAACAAGCTGCATCCCAGGCAGGGAGGGGACCTGGATGTCCAGGCAGAACGGCATTGTGGAGATACAAGCAGAGATAGAATCTCACCAGATACTAGCTGGGTGATCTCAGGCAAGTTACTCAGCCTCTCTGAGCCTCAGTTTTCCCACCTGCAAAATGGAAATAATATCTATTTCCGCACATTGTCCTGAGGGATTAACTAGGATATTATACATATTAAGTGCTTAGCACAGATAAGTACTTAATAAATTAAAGATGTTCCTTTTATAATTTTAATGAACCAAATGATCGCTCTAGTTATTAATTTTAAATTGAAGCAGAGGCTTTGGTTTTATGGGAGAGGCCAGCAGGGCTGAGGGTTCGAGGGACTCCAACAGGGCCAAAGCTGGGTGAGACCCCGGGTGCACAAGGCATGAGGGTTAGGTTTTCAAGGTCAAGACTCAGGAGAGGCCCAGGATGGACGGGCTGAGCCTGCACAATAGCTACTGCCATGGGGGTGGACAGAGAGGCAAGAGGCAGCCAAGCCGTGGGGTCCCTGCTCCGACGGGCCCTCACTTGTACCTCCTGTGTTTTGATAGAGAAGTGGGACGCCTTCATAAAAGAAACCGAGGACATCAACACGCTCCGGGAGTGTGTGCAGATCCTGTTTAACAGCAGATATGGTGAGTGGGCGGCGCGGCCCGTGGTGTGGCCCCAGCAGCGCGCTGAGCATCTCATTGTGTGGCAGTCACTCGTGTTCCCCAGCATGACGGTGGCAGCCATATGCTGGCATCACGCGCCGTCAACGCAAATGTCATCTCCTGTCTGGGTAGGGGGTGGTTGTGTCAATATTTCCCTTCCAGATTCTCCAGGGGGCAGGACTGATGGCAAAGCCCCAGACCTTGGCTCACCTGTGGGAGGCGGGCCGCTTGGGGGGGCGGTGGCGACCATCCGGGAAAACGGCTGTTGGCCTCTTGTGCCTGCAAGTCCCCCACGCACCACCCTGTCTCCTGCCTCCTCACCTTTGCCCGTGCCGTGCCCCCTGCCCAGCGTGCCCTTTGCACGTATTGCGGGCAGACTCCTACCTATTCATCAAGACTCAGCTCTTAAAGCTCTGATGGTTTCCTCTCTGTTCCACGTCGCACACTTGATGCGCCTGGTCTGTATCTGTCCCTGTGAAAGCCAGGACAGCACCGGCCCCTCCGTGCCCCCAGCACCCAGGACAGAGCCGAGCTCAGAGCACGTGTCGGCTCACCGCACTGTGGGCAGCAGACACAGGTGGTAACCGGGGCAGGGGTGCCCTCCACGTGGTAGAGCTTCAGCCAAGTGCAAAGTGTGGCCGTTCGTTGGCTAGACAGCAGGGGCTGGACCAGATGGACCTGTAAGCCCTTCCCGCTCTGGGTCCTGGGACCCCCGAGTGCCCTCCCACACCTGGTCTCCTTTGTCCCCTCAGCAGTCCTCGCTCACTCTCACTTATTCGCTCAGCCTCTCTTGCGCTCCGTCTATAAGCCCCGCTCAATGGTCAGACGCAGCGTGGCTCTGGCCAGGGTGGGTGGCTCTCAGTCACTGCGGAGATGATGCAGGTACCCACAGATCACTCATCACGCAGGCGTGATGTCATTGAACCCCACTTGAATCACGCAGCCCCTCTCTGGGGCAGCCCCTCTGCACGATAGGACCAAGGGAGGGGGCTGGGGGGAGGGGCACCACCCAGAGCTGCAGGGACAGAGAGGAGGGTCCCGGGCCGCCTACATGTGCGGGTCAGGGGAGAGCACTGCCCTGGGAGTCCACAGACACTCGCTGGATGCCCTGGAGATGGCCAGTCTCCCTGCCTAACATTGGCTTTCTCACCATGAGCAGACCAGACGTGCCGGGGTAGGGCTTCACTGCCCTCCCTGCCCTCCCTCCCCTCCTGCTTGGCTACGAAAAAGCCTCTCTCTCTACTCACAACACTTCTGACAGCAGGAGTGTGGGTTTTCCACGCCACGCAACCCTCCAGTTCTCTGTGGCCACCAGCTGGGGGCCCTACAACTCGATTCAATTCTGACCCTAACTCCCCGGAGTTACACAGATGCCTCCCCAGGTTAAGGGCTCAGTGCCCCAAGGCAGCGCCCCACTTCAGACGCCAGTCACAGGTAGTGGGTCCCCAGGGTACCCACACTTCCATCCAATTTGGCTGCACACCCGTGTGGTTCCCAGGACCCCCCTCCACGGGTTCGGCAGTTTTCCATAATGGCTCACAGAACTGAGGGAGGAAACACTTTGCTTCTCTTGACCTGTTTATTACAAAGGGTACAGATGAAGAGGTACATGGTGAAAGGTCTGGAAGGGTCTTGAGCACAGGGGCTTCTGTCCCCGTGGAGCCTAGGGTGCACCAGCCTCCTGGCACGTGGAAGCTCTCTGAACCCCTTCGGTTAGAGTTTTTACAGAGGTTGCATTAAGTGGGTGTGATTGATTTAACCATTGGCCATTGGTGATGAGCTCAGCCTCCAGCCCCTGTCCCCTCCCAGGAGTGGGGGATGTTTCCAACCCTCTAATTGCGTTTTTGGTTTTTTTTTAAATTAATGAATTTATTTTTGGCTGCGTTGGGTCTTCTTTCTTTAATTTTATTTTTAATTTATTTTTGGCTGCCTTGGGTCTTTGTTGCTGCATGCAGGCTTTGTCTAGTTGTGGCGAGCGGGGGCTACTCTTCCTTGCGGTGCGCGGACTTCTCACTGTGGTGGCTTCTCTTGTTGCGGAGCACAAGCTCTAGGCACACGGGCTTCAGTAGTTGTGGCACGTGGGCTCAGTAGTTGTGGCTTGTGGGCTCTAGAGCGCAGGCTCAGTAGTTGTGGCACACAGGCTTAGTTGCTCCGCGCCATATGGGATCTTCCCAGACTAGGGCTCGAACCCGTGTCCCCTGCATTGGCAGGTGGATTCTTAACCACTGCGCCACCAGGGAAGTCCCTCTAATCGCGTTTTGAGCCCCCTACCTTGTGCCAGGCACTCAGACCAACTCTGGTCTCAAGGTGCTTCAGCAAGTGGCTGAAGGTGGGTCTGCAGTACACGCAGTGGTGTACGGTAGTACGTTCGAGTATGTAGTAACGTGCAGGGGTGGGGGCCCTCAGAAGGGGAGGACGGCTCAGAGAAAGGTGAGGTTTCTCGATAGGCTTGAGGAGTCAGGGGAGGCTTCATGGAGGAGGTGTTCTTTGATCCACCCTGGGGCCTGGGAGGCTTGGTCACGTGGGCTTGGTGGGCTGGGCCATCCTGGTTGGGGTGGGGCTGAGCGAGGCCCCGTACTGCAGGGGGCTGTCTGTACCCAAGTTTCTCCCCTCCCTCCCTAGACAGGTGTGAGCAGGGCGGGGAGTAGGGAGAGGGGAGCTGGGGAGGGCTGGCTCTGTCCACATTGGGTGGGTTCTGCCCGACCGCTGCAGGCATGACAGCTGCCAGTCTTCCAGTCTGTCGTGTGTGCTGGATGTTTCCAGAATGTTGAGCCTTTCCTGGAGGTCAGCACTTGGGCCCACCACCATGGCCAAATCCAAGGAGGAGTGTCGGGCTTGGGGTGGTTGAGACCTTGCCCCTCCTCAGGCCAGAGCTCCCTCTGAGCTGTCCCTTCCGCTGCCCTGGGGAGAAGCTGCCGCCCGCCGCCCCGCCCCCATGAGTACTGGGGGTTCCTGTGGCAGGGGTGGGGATGTTTGGCAGCCTGAACAGTCCTGCAGATCCAGGACGAGCAGGTCCTGCTCCTGGTTCGCCCTTTGAGCTACCAGCTCCGGGCCAAGTGGTCCCGCGATGTTGCTGGGGGTGCAGAGGGGGGAAAAAGAAACAGAAAAGACATGGAGGGAGCCCCAGCCTTGAGGAAGCCGCAGTGTCTCTGTCACCCGGGGGGGGGGTTGAGATTACACCAGGGTCTAAGGGTTGTGCATGGCGGCTCCATCCTCCTCTTCCAGGTGGGCAGCAGCTGGAGGCTGCGCGGGCTGGAGCTTTTGTGCCCTGGGCTGGAAAGACAGGCCTAGCAAGTCAGATGAACCCGAGGGGAGGTGGATTCACGTAGACTCGAAGAAGCCAAGAGCCCGTCGCTCAAGTGCTGGGGCTGGGGGGTGGCTGGTGACGCTGGGGTTCGGGGGAAGAGACGGTTTGACGGCTGCTGAGATGGTGAGGGTTTAATTAGACGATGAGCTAAGTGTGACTTCACAGTGAGACCTGGCTGCCAAAGCCTCCAGCGCAGGCCTGGGCCGCATCAACAGAAAAGCAATCTTGGCGGTGCCCCAGGGAGGGCCACAGGCAGGCGGCTCTGCCCTGCCCCGGTCCTGGCATGACTGCAGGGGTCCGCCTGTGGGCTGCCACTTGGCCGAGGAGCCAGGCCAGGATGGGGAGGGGCCTGAGGAACAGTGAGGAGACGTGGAACCCTTGGGACAGGTTGGAGTGACCCTTGGGAGAGGCAGGAGTGAAGGGGACACCCAGCTCAGCTCGCCTCCCAGGCCTCGGGGCCCCATGAAAGTACCATCAAGCACATAGTAGGTGCTCAAGAAGTATTTGGTGAGTGAATGAATGAAAAGGAGGAGCTGCGGTGTATGAGTGACTGAAATGGCACAGGACCACACCTAATGGTTTGGAGGAAAAGAGCAAGTAACCACTTCCTGAGCTCGGGTTCTGTCTACACTGCTGTTGACAAAGCTGTCGGCTTCCAGCGGTGTCTCCTGTCACTGACGAGTGAGCAGAGTGCTGGGCCCCTCCCTGGAGGAAAGGACACACCTGTACAACTGGGAGCATCTGGCCAAGAGTCCACCTCCAGCCTGGAAGCTTCCCTCAGCCGCTCATTCACTCCCAAATATGCAGGAAGCAGCTACTACGTGTCCTGCCCCATTTAGGTTCCAGACAGTGAACCAACGCACAGTGAATATGTTTGTAACGTCAGATTATGATAAATGTGGGATGAAAAACAAAGCAGGGTGGGCTAGGGAGGGCTGGAGGGGGCTGTTTTAGGCTGGTGAAGTGACATTTGAGCAGATGCTTGAATGGAGAGAGGGAGGGAGGGGAGAGTATGGTGATCTGGAAGAAGAGTGTCTGAGTAGACAGAAGAGCAGGTGCAAAGGCCCTGGGATGAGTGCGCGCTTGGCGTGTTAGGGAAGCACCAGGGAGGCCAGAGAGACCGGGGTGAGCAAGTAGAGGGGTGAAAGATAAGGCCAGAGGTGATGGGGTCCTGGTCACGTAGGGCCTTGTAGGACTTCGGCCATCGCTGAGTGGGAGGGGAGCCTATGGGCCTTTTTTAAGAGAGTAGTGATGTATTTGGTGTTTCAGGAGGATCCCTCTGGCTGCTGAGTGGCCAGAGTGGTGCCTGGGAGGTGGGAGGTGGTGATGACCAGGCCCTGGGGCCCTGCATGTCCCGCAGCCTCCATCCCGCGTTCAGCCTTGCCGTTGCCCTTCCAGCGGAAGCCCTGGGCCTGGACCACATGGTCCCCGTCCCCTACAGGAAGATCGCCTGCGACCCGGAGGCTGTGGAGATCGTGGGCATCCCGGACAAGATCCCCTTCAAGCGCCCCTGCACCTACGGGGTCCCCAAGCTGAAGCGGATCCTGGAGGAGCGGCACAGCATCCACTTTGTCATTAAGAGGTAGGGGGTGGGGTGCAGGGGGGCAGGGCTGGGCAGGGGGGCGACAGCAGGCACGAGGCAGGGCCCTGGGGAGGCAACAGGGGTCAGGAGCGGAGCGAAGGGGTTCTGTAGCCTGACAGCTGCGTGGCCGCCTCCTCCTGGCCTCTTTTGAGTATTGAATGGAGAAATGGAGGCACAGTGCCTGACCCGAGTAGGCGCTGGCTAAGCTCTCAGAGGTGTTTTCCTGCCACCGAAGAAGACCTGAGGCCTTTGTACTTACCTCCCTTCAGAGAGGAGCCCACCTGAGCTCAGGTGGGGCTGGGCCAGCCTCTCCCTTTCTGCACCTCCCATCGGACTACCCTGCCTGCTGGTAGTTTGTCCACCTTTCCTGTCCTCCCAGGTGGCCAGTTTCCCTGGTGCAGGTGCGGGTGGGCGGGAGAAGGCAGAGCACTATGGACTCTGGAACTGCAGCCCCTTCCCCCCGGCCTGCTGCCACCCACCCCCCAGCCTTGTCTCCCAACTCCCACAGGGGGCTTTGTCCTCACAGCTGGCCGGACTCACCAGCGAGCGGGCATCCCCAGGCAATGCCAGGCTTCCTGGGATTGCTTCCTCCTAAATAGTTAGAGAGGGAGGGGGCCAGAGGCCATGCCGTCCAGCCCCCTGCCTCCAGCAGCACTGCCTGCGTCGGGCCCTTCCCAGGCATCCATTCTGGGAGCCCGCTGAGGGCGTGGCTCCCAGCGTGTGCACGCGCCCACGCGCCTGCTTGCTTGTTGCCCTAGACTGTAAGCAGGGACGGTGTGGCTCGTGGCTGAATCCCCAGCGCCCACAGCAGTCCCTGGCATGCAGGAGATGCCAGTCCATATCTGTGGAATAAAAAGATGGATGGATGAAAGTGCTTGTCCAAATTTGGACTCAGGCCATCTAACTTGTTAGAGCTTAGGAAATAAACAGGGTGATAGGAGAGAGAAAAATGGTGGGTGGGTGAGGAGGAGACCTGTTTAGGGTGGCCCAGGGGCCTCTGAGAGAAGGTCCCATTGGTTAAGCCAGAGCTGGGAGGTTGAGAAGGGCCACCTGCACCCAGCTGGGCAGTCAGTGTCTGGACAGAAGAATTGACCTCAGTGAGCAGCCCAGACGGCTGGGGTGCAAGAGGGTGGGGATTAACCCTGAGAGCGTGGAATTGTTCTGAGCCTTGGGAAGGACCTCTGCAGGGTTGCTGGATGCCAGAGCTGGGGTCTGCCCGGCCCCCTGGCTGCTGGGGGAGAACGAACTCTAGAGAGCAGAAGCAGGAGACTGGCGAGGAGGCTGCTGCAGCCGTGGGCCAGGCCAGCGTGGTGGGCACAGGGAGAGAGCAGCTGGGTTGGGGATGGAATCTGAGCGGTGACGGGGTGTGCTGGTGAGTGGACCGTGCAGGTGGGGAGGGGAGTGGGGAGGAAGGGTCACCCCCATGTTTCTGAGTGAGTTCACCTTGGAGGAGATCAGGAGATGGAATTTTCAGAAGCCCAGCTGAGAGGTCAGAAGCTAGGGAGGGAGGTCTGGGAGTTAGAGATAAAAATCTGAGAGTTGGCAGTGTGGGCCAGGAAGGGATCACGGGCAGGAGAGAAATAGAGAAGAGAAGAGAGGGGCAATTCCCCGGCGGTCCAGTGGTTAGGACTCCACTCTTGCCTGCTGAGGGCCCGGGTTCAATTCCTGGTCAGGGAACTAAGATCCCACAAGCCATGCAGCGTGGCCAAAAACAAAAAAAGAAAGAAAAAAAAAGAGAAAAGGTGGAGAGGACTCAGATGGACTCTGGGATCCCCACGTTAGAGGCTGGGGCCGCCAGCAGAGGAGGCTGAGAGTGGCCAGGGAGCTGGGCGGGCGTCTCACTGCCACCGAGGGAGGTGACTCTGAGAGTCAGCTCTGACTGTGGGGCACGCCTGCTCAGAACCCTTCCCCGCTCCCCCACTCTCCGTGAGCCCCGGTGTAGCGGCTCCCAGGGTACCACAGTCCAGCCTGTCAGCAGCCACCGTGCCCGCCTTAGTGCCGCTCCGCCTTCCCTCCTGTTTCTCTGAACTCCTGCCTCCTCACGTGCCTCCAGCCATCACTGAAGCCCTTTCCTTTGCCTGAAGCTGCTCCCCACCCTCCTTCCCACCTGTCCTGTCTTTCAAGGCTCACTATTCTGTCTAGAAGCCCTCCCCTGTCCTCAGTCGGAAAGAATTTCCCCCTTCCGCAGCAGATGGCTTCTTCCCCCCATCCGCGTCCCCACCAGCCCCCCATCACCCTGATCACTGGCGGCAGTGGGACCACATCTGAGCCACCTCTGTTCCCTCTCAACCTCTACCAGGGGTCCCACTTGATAAATCATTCTGGAGGTGGATTTGAAATCATTCAAGGGAATTCCCTGGCGGTCCAGTGGTTAGGACTCTGCACTTCCATTGCTGAGGGCCTGGGTTCGATCCCTGGCTGGCTGGGGAACTAACATCCCGCAAACCGAGTGGCATGGCGGGGCCAAAAACAAAATCATTCGGCCTTCTGTCAGGTAGTGCCTCCTGTTGTCTAGCTTAAGTCTCTCTTGCTGCTGCCTAAGTCCTTTTCCTTCAGTTGACTCCTGGTAGCAAGGGAGGAGGCTAGGAGAGCAGAAAGCAGCAAGGGCATCCCAGTGACCCCTTACATTCCTGATTGTGGTATTTGAGTCCTCACTGTGGCTGACCTTCATCTCCCTCTATCCAAACTGTAGGTCGTTTAACCCTTCACTAGTATTTGCCAGGCGCCTCCTGCAGGCCCAGCCCTTCACTGAGCTCTACTGAGGACTTCACGAAACAGCAGGCACAGTCCCCATCTGCCCCCAGGGGCTACCGCAAGTCATGGGGGGTGGTCACTCCTGCGATGAGTCCTGGGAGCATCAAACAGCATGTTTCCAGGTGTAGACTCGATGGCATCTGAGCAGCAAGCCTGTGGGGCTTCCTGGAGGAGGAGGCTTGGCATCAGGCCGACTGGGCTTGAAGCCACACAGCACGTGAAAACCTTGGCTAGCGCTTCTCTTCTGAGCCTCAGTTTCCTCATTTGTAAAAATAGGGACAATGATGCCCTATTCCTCAGGTTTTTCTCAACATAGTATGAGGAGGTAGACATAACATACCTGGCATGAAATAGATGCTCAATAAACGCGAGTCTTCTCCCTTGACCTCATCTCCTTCACGTAGAGAGAAGTAGTTAATCAGTGCTGACAACCTGGGTTCGAATCCTGGCCCTACCATTTTCCAGCTGTGTGTCCTTGGGCAAGTTACTTAACTGCTCTGCCTTACTTTCCTCGTCTATAAAATGGGGCTAATGAGGCAAATTCCCTGGTGGTCCAGGGGTTAGGGCTCTGCGCTGCCACTGCAGGGGGCATGGGTTCGATCCCTGGTGGGGTAATTAAGATCCCACATGCTGCACCGTGTGGCTAGAGAATAAAATAAAATAAAATGCGGCTAATGATTGTTCAGGCCCCATAGTGCTGGTGGGAGACGACATGGATGTGAGCAACGTGCTTAGAACAGAGGCTGCTCCTTTCTGAGCCCCAGTGCATTTTCACTGTTGCACAGCCCAGCCTCGTCAGGGAGACATTTGAGATCACATCTGCGATCGTCCTAGCAGAAGGGAGTCAGAGAACAGAGAGCTTAGGAAGCAGCCAGGAGGGGGAGTTGCCACCCCAGCCCAGGTGTCTGCAGTGCGGGGGAGGTCAGGGTGCTCTCCTGACAAAAGGGAGAAGCCCCTCGACAAAGCCTGTGGGTCTTGTTATTAGTGGAAGGGGGCTTCCTGGCCCCTGGGTCCCCAGTCATGCCCAGCCCTGACCCCTAAATCCCCGGTTTCTACCAGGACACAGGCCCAGAGCGAGAGGCTCTGAGTTCACATGTGTCGGTTCTACCTAAGGGAGGACTTCAGAGGGAAAAGTGTCTGGAGGGGGTCCTAGAACTCTGCAGTGTGCAACAGCGACCCTTGTTCAGTGCTCATCAGGTGGGCCTTCCAGGCCGGGCAGCCCATGAGGGCGTCTGTCACAGCATCGGAGCCACGTCAGATCAGACTTTCTCCCTGTCATCTGTCTCCCCGCTCCCCGCCCACCAACTCCTCTAGGAACTGCAGGCCAAGGTGTCACACCCCCTCCCTTGTGCTCCCTGATAAGTAAATATAACCATAAATAATAAAACCTGCTGTTAATGCAGGGAGCCTCCCCGTCACTGGATGGAGCTGAGGAAGCGTGCCTCAGAGCGGAAGCCAGTTCTCTCCAGAATTATTCCCTGTGGCCGCTTCTCGGCCTTGGGGGACCCAGACGAGCATGAACCTCCAGGAACAGTGGGGGAAGCTTGCACCTCTCAGAATAAGAACAGGATGCCGTGCCTGGGGTCTCACCGCCCTGGTAACCCACACGCTCTACCTTCTGTCACTGACCTTTTCGCCTCTGTTTGAATTTCCCTCTGGGCCCGGCTTGGGCACTGTCGGCCCCCTTGTATTTGGACTCAGACAAGCGGGACTTCGTTTGTCCCATGTCGCCTCTGGGGGTGCCAGTTTAGTGGCCAAAGCCCTGTCCCCTTGTCCAGACGCTCCATGGCACGCAGGCTCTGCTGCAGGCCCCCCAGACCAGCTGCCTGAGGCTCCCCAACCCGCTGGGAGCCACCCTGGTGGGGTCTGGGAGCAGAGCAGAAAGAACAGCAACCCTGCAGGTAGGCAGCCAGGTGATCCCAGCTCCCTCGCTGACCTTTACTCCATCCTCGTTTTCCAGGAATAAGAACTCCAGGTGTCTTATCAGGATGACTCAGGAGTCCCCAAATGGCCCCTGGGCCCCTAGCCATCCCCCCTCCAAGCCATCCCCCTCCAAGCCACCCTCTGTGTGGTGATGGAGTGATCTGAGGGTGCCATGCCCCCTGGGGGCTCCCCGTTGCCCACGGTGTAGAGACCACATGCCTGGGCACAGCACAGAAGGCTGGTCACCTCCCACAGGACGCCTCCAGCCGGCCAGATGGAGCTGCCAGCCCTCCCTGTGCCTTTACCTGGACAACCTCTCAGCCCTCCCACCTGGGCTCTCCATCCCCAACTCCGTGAAGTCTTTCCTGACCCCCTCCCTGCTTGGGTCCCCTTGGCTTCTGAGACAAACCGGAGGGGTCCCACATGTCACGCTGTGAGGCTGTGATCTGGAACGCTCCTGGCTTGTGCCGCCGACAGAGAGCTTCCTGGGAGCAGGGCCTACCCCTTGCCTGTCGCTGAGACACAGGTGGTGGTGGGTAAAGGCTGCGGAGCCCCGGTGGGAAAGGGGTGTGAGTTATCCTCCAGCTGTGGCCGAGGAGAGCTCAGGGCCGGAGGAAGCCCCGCCCCCCAACCTGGGCTGTTGAGATGAATAGGTTGGACCCTCCGGGACCCCCACAGGGGCTGGCCAGTGCCTTCCCTGGCTGTGGAGAAATGGTTCGGGATGTCTGGTCGTTTGGGGGTATCTGGCTGTTCCGGACCGTGCCCTCTTCTGCCCCCACGTGAGGCCAGCCCGGTGCCCAGGTCTGCAGCCATGCATGTGGGACTTGAGTGGCCGTCACTGAGGGGACCTGGAGGCCGGCTCCCCTCTCATGCCCATCTCTCCTCTCTCCCCAGGATGTTCGATGAGCGAATTTTCACAGGTATGTGTGGGTACCGTCTAGTCTGTTCCGAAGCCGCCAAGCTGATGCCCCCAAGAGTGCTTGAGCTGCCACCACACCGGACCCGAGGGAGCCTGGGTGTGGCTTCTGTATCCGGGGGCCCCAGCTCCCAGGCGCAGACAGACTGTCAGGACCTCCCCTCCAGACGTGGGAAGCCCTGGATGGGGAATAATAAAGCTGACATTTGCTGAATTCTAACATGTGATGGCTACTCTCCTAAGCTGTTAGCATATTTAATTTTAATTTAATTTAGTTTTCAACAGTCCTATAAAGTGGGTTCTGGCTTTTTCCCTGAAGTCTAGCTAGTGAGCACTGGGGTCTAGATGCAAACCGAAGTGCCCAGGCCATGACCAGGGGGTGGCCTGCCTCTCGGGAGGAAGAGGCGGACTCTGCCGGGTGCGGCAAAGGGAGCACGGATCTTGGGGTGCAACATATCTGAGTCCCAATACCAGCCCTACCTCCCCCCAGCTTTGGGACCTTGGGCACGGTCATGTGGGCCTCAGTTTCCACATCTGTGAAAAGATAAGAGCACCATCCTCTGGGTTCCTGGGATAACTAAATGAGAGAATGGTCCCATGGTACAACCTTGGGAGAGACTCGGTCCCTTTCCCAAGGGCTCCCTCAGCCCCAATAGCATAGCCCCTGTCCTGAGGTCAGCACAGCCGTTTCTGGCTTCTTCCTCCTGCCAAATCCTCTGAGATCCCCATCATCCTGATTCCTCATCCCAGGGGAGGCATCTCTCCCTGGACCCCTTCCTGGCTTGGCTGGACATGGAGGCCACAAGAAGGAGGGACAGAGGCCAGACCACACCTGAGGGGTGCCCCCAGGAGCTTCCCCCAGAGGCCCCTGCTGGATGCCCCGCAGGCAGAGGAGGCTGGAGAACCTTCGCCTTGACCACCCTGCCCCTCCCCGGCTCTCCCCCCAGGGAACAAGTTTACCAAAGACCCCACAAAGCTGGAGCCAGCCAGCCCGCCCGAGGACATCTCTGCGGAGGTCTCCCGTGCTGCCGTCCTGGACCTGGCTGGGACTGCTCGGTAAGGCCACAGCCCGGCTCTGCGCCAGCTCTGCAGGGAGGAGCAAGGCCTAGGGCTGGCTGGAGGATGCTGGGCCCAGCGTCTCACTCCACCTGGACACCCCGCACAGGGTTATCCCGCACAGGCACCTGTACGCCTCACCCCACTGTGGGCCAGGGAGAATCTAAAGGGACCCAGAAGGAGAACAGAGATTTCGCCAATTTTCTTCCACCTGGAGGATTCTTGTCACCCCCTTGGGATCTAGCCATACGTTATCTAGTCTCAAAAGCCTTCCCTGGCACCCAGACTAGGTCAGGAATCTGCCCTGCATGTCCACGAGGCCTCGCACTCAGCTCATGTACTGGTCGCCATTCACCAGTGCCCCCCACCCAGGGCCTGGGCTCCTGGGGGCCAGGGACGGGCCATCTATCCCGGAATCCCCACGTCCAGCCCAGACCTCCCTGACTGTTCTATGAATGAACCGAATCCTCCATCCCAGGGTCCTGCCCACCTTCACTCCCCAAGCCCCTCCCCAGACTCCTGAACGCTCTCCAGGCGGGTGGTCCCTACAGCTCTCAGTGCCCCCAACAAGCACTGATCAAACCCCCACTGCACTAAGTGGTGGGGCTCCTAGACTGGCTAGTCCCAGGCCTCAGGAGCTCCCAGCTGGTGGGCAAGGTGGACACCCAGCACGTCACCCGAGGGTACAGATCAGGAGCTCGGCTGGGGCAGCCAGGAGACTGCTGTCCGGGAGACAGGGCACTGGGGGTATTGCTGGCGTAGCGGGGGAGCGGCGTGGATCCCGCTGGGATGGGAGCAGATGTGGTCAGGGGTGCATTTTGAATTGGCAGCCGCCGTGGGCCCCTGACTGCCTGGAGGGGGAAAGCTGGGGCTGATGCCATGTCATTTCTCGGCTTCCTTCCCACAGGTCGGACAAAAGCAGTCTCTCTGAAGACTGTGGGCCAGGTGAGGAGCTGGACCCCACTGCGCGTGTCTGGGGTGGGAGGGCGTCCACCAGCCCCACTCAGCAGCTCTGGGGAGGAGGCCGGCTCAGACCACGAGCCTGGGTATTCATGAATGTCCTCCGTCCACCCCTGTCCCCTGACCCTCCCCCAGGCCTTAGAGCATGCTGGGAGCTCGCTGGGGGCCGGGAGGGGCAGGTGGGATGTGGGTGGCTTTGTGGGAGACCTGGATTCGGGTATCACCTCTGCCTCCACATCCTTGGCGATGCAGGTCTCAGTTGCCAGGTCTATACGTTGTATCTACCTATAGCTCAGACACCAGGGCTGACATGACTTTTCTTGGCACTACTAACAAGTCACAGACAGGAGAATGTTCAAGAATGACTCCCCTGCCCGGCCGAGCTCACGGCCACACTTGACCAGATCCCTCGTTTCCCCCCACAGGAACCTCTGGGGAGCTGGGTGGGCTGAGACCCATCAAAATTGAGCCAGAGGATCTAGATATCATTCAGGTCACCGTCCCAGGTAAGGGCTGATCCCGCCACCCCCGCCTGAAGGTACAGGGGTCGAGCACCACCGTGTCCCCTCCCGGGCTGTCCTGCTCTGTCTCTGGAGCCCCTGCCCCGGCCAGGAAGGGGTCGCCAGGCCGCTGTCTCTCTGGTCTGATCGGGAAAGGCTGCAGCGTTGCGTGTGATTTCTGTAGGCACATCTGCCCTCTGGGCTGGGGGTCCGGTCTCAGCTCCGACCTTCCTAAAGGTCCCCCCAGCCTTCACCTCTCTGGCCTGGCTTCCCTGGGATTTGAGAGGCTGCAGGGGAGAAGAAAAGGTCATTGGAGTAAGAGGATCTGAGTCTGGCTCCAGACCTGGGTCCCTCTGAGCGTCAGTTTCCACATCTGTGAAGAGGGGCATGTACTTGTCGTCTGGAGGCTCAGTGTGGGGTAACCACAGGCTCCAGGCCCCTTGGGTCCCTGCTGTCCTCTGGCACAGCTACTCTCCTTCCTTAAGGGTCCTGCTCTGTGGGCACGCTGAGCTGGGAGGTCCCTGAGGGACCGTGACGGGGTGGGACAGACAGAAGATGCTGTTGTCATTTGGAGTTTTGCCTCCAGACCCTTCCCCAACCTCTGAGGAAATGACAGACTCGATGCCTGGACATGTGCCCTCGGAAGATTCCGGTTACGGGATGGAGATGCTGACTGGTAAGAAATGGGCTGGGGACCCACCTCCCTGGGATGTAACAGGGAGAGGGGTGGGCCAGGAAGCCTCTAGACTTTTCTTGGTATTGACTGTCCCCCTTGGAAGAAACTCAGTATATGCCTGGCTCCCCCATCCAGGCCAGGTTCCTTTCTGAAAACTTGAAATAGGCCTTGAGTTAATATTAAGCCTGGTTACTCTGTCTTTCCCAGGAGCTCCCATTTGGATAAGTTTGTTTATTTAGTCAGTAACTATTTATTGAGCACCTACTATGTACAAGGTCCCGTGCAAGGTGCTGGGGACAGAGCAGTGAACCCGACAGACCAAAGTCCCCGCCCTTGTGGGCTGACATCCCAGTGCAGGGAGACAGGTAATAAGCAAATCAATAAGAAAAATAGGGGAATTCCCTGGCGGTCCAGTGGGTAGGATTCCAGGCTTTCACTGCCAGGAGCCCGGGTTTGATCCCTGGTCAGAGAACTAAGATCCTGCAAGCTGTGCAGTGCGGCCCCCAAAAAAAGGAAAAAAGAAAAATAGAAAGTCAGATGGTGGTAAGTGCTATAGGGAGACACAAAGCCAGGAGGGGAAGTATCAGGGGCAGGAGGGGTGGTTATTACAGGATTTGAGTGGTCAGAGAGGACTTCACTGAGAAAATGACATTGGAGCAAAGACCTGAAGGAGGTGCGGGCAGGAGCCGTGTGGATATCAGGACAGAACTTTCCAGGCAGAGGGAGCAGCATGGGCAAAGGCCCTGAGGTGGGCTATGCCCAGCATGTCTCAGCAACAGCAAGGAGGCCGGGTGGCTGGAACAGAGTGAGGTAGGGAAAGGGAGGTGCTGGGTGAGTTATGCAGGGTTGTGTACATCAAAGGAAGGACTGGAGACTTAACTCTGAAGAGACAGGAACCAGTGCGGGGGTTGGCGCTAATGGAGTACATTTTAACAGTGTTTACTCTGACCGTGGAGCTGAGAACAGACTGCAGAAGATCTGGGGACAAGGACAGAAACAGACTCTGACGATAATTTAGACAAGAGGAATGGTTGGGCAGGTGGATAGCAGCAGGGAGAGGGTAGGGTTCTGTGTGTTTTGTTTATGAAAGTTTATTTTGGAAATGTTCAAAACCACCCAAAGTTGAAAAGAATAGCTTAATGAATCTCACATGCCCAACTCTCAGCTCCAGCCATTCTCAACAGATGTTATTATTGATAATAAGAAGTAAGAATTATTACACGTAGTTAATGTTTTTAAAAAGTGAATCATTATAGGACTTCCCTGGCGGTCCAGTTGTTAAGACTCCGCGCTTCCACTGCAGGGGGCGCAGGTTTGATCCCTGGTTGGGGAACTAAGATCCCGCGTGCCGCGTGGCACAGCCAAAAAATAAAAAAAAAAATTTTTTAAGTGAATCATTATAAAGACAAATAGTATGTAAATTATAGAAGGTTTGCGGATATGGCAGAAAACGATATTAGTACTTAGATGATTTGAGTTTGGAAGGCTGTGTAACAAGGGATGCAGGGCCAGGGCAGGAAACTTTAGGAAGGTGGCTGGAATTCGTTTCCCTTGCCTGTGATGTCTGGTGTGGGCTTGATTAGGAGGGGAGAGGGGTGGGTATTGCTTAAGGATACTGTGCAAAAGCGTAGTAGGTGTATTTAAATGCACAGTGTGAAGAAACCTCATAATGTTCAATGTGAAAAGCAAGTGCAGAAGGATATAGACAATATGGCATTTCTGTAAGTTTGGAGACGTAACAATAGTATTGCTAATGTTTTATTTTTAGAAATCGTGTGCAACTATGACAAAATGCTAATGTGTATTCATTCCGGCTGATAGGTCCATGAGTGTTTGTGGTAATATTCTGTATGCTTTACTGCACTTTTTAACGTTTCCCCTACCAAAAATAAACAAGTGACTGGAAAAATAAATAAGAAGGTTTCCTACAGGCCCAGATGGGTGGTGCCGCGTTAATTGGTGACAGGATAAAGGCAGAATCTCTCTGCTCCTCGTCTGCTTCCGTCTTCTCTGTCAGGGAGAAGGGTCTGGAAACAGCAAAGAGTGAGGAGGACCTGGGAGTCCGGTTCGATAAGGAGATATAAAGGGTCCTCAGAGCTGCTGTGGCTAATACCTAAGACGTGCATAGGACGTGAGAAGTCCCAGCGGACACAGATGCGCTGACAACAGAGAGAGACTTGGAGATGAGCTCTTGCCCCAATTGCAAACAGGTGGACCGTGCGTTAGTCCCAGGCACAGTTCCGGAACAGATTTCTACATGGGCGACTGTGAGCCATCAGAGGGGACCCAGCGTGGGGTCATCCACGGGACTGAGTGGGCTCATACGACATCGAGATCTCCAGAGGACCCTCCAGCTGCGGAAGCTCCTCATGATTTTTATAAACAAAAGGGTTTTGGGCTTCCCTGGTGGCGCAGTGGTTGGGAGTCCGCCTGCCGATGCAGGGGACGCGGGTTCATGCCCCGGTCCGGGAAGATCCCACATGCCGCGGAGCGGCTGGGCCCGTGAGCCATGGCCGCTGGGCCTGGGCGTCTGGAGCCTGTGCTCTGCGGCGGGAGAGGCCACAGCAGTGAGAGGCCCGCGTACCGCAAAAAAAAAAAAAAAAAGGGTTTTGACTCTAAATGCAGTTTTAAGTATTGTTTTCAATTTAAATAAAAGTTATTTGAATTTCAAGCAAAAAAAGGGAGGGCCGCAGGGGGACCCCAGCCTCCACATGGGGAAGGTTTCCCCTGTTGTCCTGGAGGGCTTGGTCCTTCCTCAAACATTTGTCAGTTAGTTGGATAAAGGACCTTAGGCAGCAAGATTATGCAATTTGCAGATCCTTGGGGAGGAATGGTCAGTCCATCCAAGAATGGTGTTCCCCATGGCCTTGACAGACCAGAACACTGGGCTGAAACGCACAAGAAAGATTCACAGCCCCAGGACGTGTGTCATGGGTTGTGTTCCCTGGGGCCCAGTCTCTGAGATGGAGTTTAATGTGTGGGGTTTTTATTAGGGGCTGCCGTTGGGATCAACACCTATGTAAGGGAGGGGACAGAAGCACAAGGGGGACGAGGGGGAAGGCAAGCCATGATCTGGCTGCAGCAACACGTCCACCAACCCCACGGGGAGCTTGGAGCCAGAAAGGCCCCTCAGAGTTGCTCCCAGTTGCACTGGATACCCTGGCCTTTATACCTCCACCTCAATCAGTCACAAAATGCGGGCCACCCTGGAAGGGCAGTCCTTGAAGGGGCAGCTGCCCTCTGACCACACTCCCTGCTGCTCTTCCTTGAAGCTCTTCCTTGAAGGGGATCTGAGTAGTCAGTACATCCCAGTACCTGCCACAGAAGAAGAGACAGACAGTAAACAAACGCATGCAGCCACAGAGAAACAGGGGCTTGAACAAAGGGGCATCTCTTGCACCTTTTAACTGAACAGAACTTTGGCTGAGTGCGTGGGGAAATGGGCACAGACCTGGCGCTGGTAAGAACGCAAATGGGCAAATAGCTTTTTAGGGAAATGTGTCAGCCTGAAGAGCCGTAAAAATGAGCACCACCACCCCTGCCCCCTACGTCCAGCAGGAACCCGGTCCGAGGAAATTGTCTGAAATGTGAAGTGTTTTCTGCACAGAGATGTTCATGCCAGCGTTAATGATGACCATGAAAGATTGCAGCAAGCTCGTCCAGCTGTCAGGGAGCTGTTAACGGCATCCTCCCGATGGACTATTAGCCACTAAAAAGAGGCAACGAGGGAGACTGTAGAAGACACGAAGCTGACGGTGTTTACAACTGTGTTGAACACATGATCACTGTTTTGGCGGGGGGGGGAAAATATCAAAAAAGTAACTATGTTAGGTTAAGTGATCAATCTTTGTCACTCCCTGAATCAGTTGCGATGTGCTTCTGATACCTTGGTAATGAAGAAAGAAGATTGTCAGGCACGGGCTGGGCATGAGTGGAATTGGGAGCAATCCGGTAACTGTGCGGGGAGTGTAGTGGACCAAAGGCTCAGGATGAGCTGACAGTGTGGCCTGGTCTTTAAGAAGTCGCATGTCACCTGGCTGCATTCACAGCAGAATTAAGAAGACCGAGGGGGATTTCCCTGGAGGTGCAGTGGTTGAGAATCCGTCTGCCAGTGTAGGGGACATGGGTTTGATCCCTGGTCCGGGAAGATCCCACATGGCATGGAGCAGCTAAGCCCTCAGGCCACAACTACTGAAGCCCGCACGCCTAGAGCCCGTGCTCCACAACAAGAGAAGCCATCGCAATGAGAAGCCCGCGCACCGCAACGAAGAGTAGCCCCCGCTCGCCGCAACTAGAGAAAGCCCCGTGCACAGCAATGAAGACCCAACGCAGCCAAAAATAAATAAATTTAATAAATTAAAAAAAAAAGAAGACCAAGGGGGTCCCGATCTGTGGAGGCCCCTGGGGTTGGGGGGCCGTGGACCAGCATGGTGCGATTTCTATCGGAAAGGCTTCTCCCAGCTGGTGGTGTTACTGTATTGTACAAATCATCCCTCGTTTGCTCACCTGGTGCCTTGGGCATCTCTGGTCATGCCCTCGATCGTTTACCAAGGTTGAAAATGGGGAGGCAGTGAGCACATGGACGGGTTTGTTCAGGGTAAGTAGCCCCGCACCATGCCAGGGGGCGGGGGGGAAAAGCAGGCAACTTTCTCACGTTTGGAATTAGGGCCCCCAAAGTACATAGGTCATCATCTCCTGCTGCCTTTGAAAGAGCCCCCCACCCCCCGGGAGAGGACCCGGCCCCGCTTCCTTCTGTTTTCAGGATCCTACAACAAAGGCTGGCAGAAACCCCTCCTTAGTGGAGCCACAGAGCTGAGCTGGTTCCCTGTGGGTGTCTGGGTCCGGTCATCTGCCTGGCTCTCAGATTGTTGCTACCGCCTGGGGGCGGCCCTGCACACACGGACAGCTCAGAGCGGGGACAGACTTCCCGGTCTCCCCTCTTGTTCCTCTCAAGGCATTTCGTGAACTTGATCGGTGCTGCCACTGTGACATCTGGGCATCTCCCTCCGCCCTGAGACAGATCCAGCTCCCTGATTCAGGGAACCCTCCCTGGCAGCACTGCTTGTCCCTCTGTCCCCACCAGACTCCTCTCCTCCTGTCTGCCCCTCTCTGTCTAGAAATGGCAAAGATGAAGTTGTTGAGTTTGGGATCCCCCAGGGGCTTCCCCTGAGACAGGGGCCTTCATTCATTTGGGAGGAGAGTCCGGGAAGGGCAGTCCTGGTACGAAGGGGGACTGGACAGGACAGCAGTGCCGTCAGGCCCGTCACCCCTGTGGGCAGCTGAGCTGAGGGACCACGGGAGCCCACGTAAATCACACACCTGAGTTAATGCAGCTGAGGAAGCTGGGAGCTGGGCTGGTGATCTGCCCTCCATCACTGGCTGAGAGCTCTTTCCAGGCATTGATCCCAGCCCTTGTACCTTGCTGGTCTGCTCCCACAGCCAGAAAAAAGCCTCCAGGCAGAGTCAGGTGGGCCCATAGTGTACCTATTGCCATGAGGAAAATTTAGGCCGAAAGCTCAGGCCTGGCCCTTTTTAAGTCAGAGGCTGAGCATAGATGAAACCTTCCAGAACCTTCCGGGCTGAGCCCCAAGGCTTAGGCTTGTCTGGCAATCCCAGATGCAGGCTCCCCTTCCCTCCGTCCGTGAGTGGGCCTTGACCATGGGCAGCTCTCCCAGGATCAGCCCCTTTCCATCCCCCTCACGATCCCATCTGGCACATCCCTGCATCCCTCATCACCGAGCATCCTCTCCACCGGCTGGCCAAGAGCAGACCCAGGTCCGACTTCTCCACCCCTCACCAGGTCAGCCTCGTGTCAGGGGCTGAGAAGGGCTGTTTAAGGGTTAGCCCTGCCTGGGAAAGCACCTGGCAAACGCACAGCAAACTTCCTAAGTCGCAGTTTCCTTCTGGTTCTTTCAAGTGTTGAAAGTCCCCACACCTTCCTCCAGCTCTTGGCACCAAAGAGCTGCTGCTGATGGAGGCCCTGCAGCCCGCCGATCGGCCTGTGCCTCACCCCCTGCACCCCACTTCCACTGTCCGCACTTGGAGTTCATCCTGCTGCGGAAATCCGCCATCTCTGAGTTTGCCACCACCCTCCCCACACACACTTCCCCCCTCCCTGCCTGTGTCCCTCTCCCACCCCACTGCTTTCCCTGGACACTTGGGTCAAGCCCAGGTGTACCCCCCCTCGGCCCCCCAAGGCCAGTCTCAGCCCTCCCCTGTATAGCTTGAGCCCTCACCTCCCCTGTTGTTCACTGTGCCACGACCTTGCTGCCTGTTGGACGGGCACCTGGGGACAAGGTTGGGTCCCTTGTGCCCAGGCCAGAGCCAGTGTCATCTTGTCAGATGCGCTGGGACCACGTGACCCTAGATGGCTCCACGCCCCCACCTGCCTTTCCTCCATCCCCTTACCCAGCCATGCCACCTGACATGTGGGATCGTAGTTCCCTGACTGGCGATAGAACCTCTGCCCCCTGCAGTGGAAGCGTGGAGCCCTAACCACTGGACCGCCAAGGAATTCCCTCTGTTTTTCTTGACGGCATCACTGCCATCTGGCATCGTATGTAATGTTTGACATCACACCAGGAGGACAAGGCTTTGTCTTGTTCCCGTGTGTCCTCAATGCCTAGAACAGAACCTGGCAGTCAGTAGATGGAAGGACAGGCTGGTGCAGGGCTGGTCTCCACGGGGTGTTTACCAAATGTCACAGGATATCTGGTCTCTGAAACTCACATGGAGGCGAGGGCAGGTGCTTGTGCAAAATTGGGGTCCATGATCCCATCTGGGAGTCACCATGCCGTGCTCCAGAGTCTGGGCCTGCCATTCCCCACCTGTCTGCCCTGACTTTGGTGGTGCAGGAGATGATGAACATGGCTGCCTGGCACCCTCTTTTTCAGACAAAGGCCCCAGCGAGGACCCGCGGCCTGAGGAGAGGCCTGTGGAGGGTGAGGCACTGTTCACCCCCCATTTTTCACCCCCCCCCCACGTCTCCTCCCCTCCCCAGTCCTGCATCTCCTTTTTGTCTCTTCCCAACACCGGGTTTGGGGGTGGGTGTCCTGTGGGCTGCCTGAGTTGGGAGGAGGTTTATAGACCTGTCTTGTAGAACTAAGAGGTACACGGTCAGAGGTAGAAGCAGCTCTTTCTGGTAAAGGAAATTGTAAGCCTTTCTTATTTTGTTTTTATATACACCCTGCCTCTTTCCACAAAGGTTTTAAGGCTGAGTCTTCCTGAGCAAGTCGAATTTAGGCCTGAAAGCACAAAATTGGCTTTGTGTCCAATAGACATGTTCAATCTCAGGAACACTGCTCATTCCCACCCTGCGGAGGGTGGGAGTAGGACAGGCAGGGAGATCAAGGTGAGGATGGGTCTGTTTCCACCCCTGGAACGGAATGAGTGGGTGTCAGAGGAGAGGAGCGTCACTTTCCCAATCCCAAACCCAGCCTGGCAGGGGAGGAACTCTGAAGTTTTAATCAACATCCACTGCCACCTAGTGGCGGCATACTCAATTTGCAGGCTTAGAGTTCACAAGCTAGCAAAGTCACTTACGGTGCTGGTCTAGAGTGACATTCACATAGAAAGGCCCATGGTCATTCTTAGGCCTCAAAACCTTCCTTTCAGTCCTGGTAATGCCCTAGATCCGATTTCACAATCAGGTATTTGAGCCCCAGAATTGTGGACCTGTCTGCAGGGATGCCACTTCTGAGGAAGTAGGTTACCTGCCACCATTACCCTTCCCCATTCCAAGGTCCCAGCACAGGGTCATTCTTGGTGCCAGCAGACCTAGGACATGAGCTGAGAAGCAGGGTCCTGCTGCCACTGGGGAGGCTCACCAAACTGTTCTTTGCCTTTCAGACAGTCATGGTGACGTGATCCGGCCTCTGCGGAAGCAGGTGGAGCTGCTTTTCAACACGCGATACGGTGAGCGAGGAGCCGGGTAGGGTCGAGGGCATCCAGGCCTCCCTCCAGCTGCCCTGTTTTCAGAGGGCCTGATCCCCCATCCCAGCTGCTCCTGGAACCGAGACAGAGGAGGGAGGGGCCGGAGGGGCTGGGACCAACTGGGAAAGGGCCAGGGCTCCGCAGGGCCTGCCATCCTGCCCCTTCCTCAGCTCTAGACCTCCCTCCCTGGGAGACTGAGGCACTGCCAGAGAACCCCACCCTCTGAAACGCAGCGTCCCCACCTCCTCCTTCAACAGGCTCACACTCACTCGTGGTCTGCCTCAGCCTCAGCTTACAGAGGCCACTCTGACTGCTGTCACTACCCCTCTGTACCCACAGACACCCTCGTTCAGGGTCCTCAGGAGGACAGATGGATAACAAGGTTTTTCCTACTAGAAAGACCAGGAAAGAAAACAGGGAGGCAGGGAGAAGCCTACTCTTCATTCAGCCCTTGTGGTTGGCCAGGCACTGGCGAGGTGCTGCACATGAGTTCTCCCATCCCATCTCACAAAACGCCTGTGTCCTAATGCCCATTTTACAGATGAGGAAAGTGAGGCCTGGGGAAGTGATGTGGCTTGTCCTAGGCCCCAGAACTAGTGAGCGGCAGTGCCTGGCCTGGGCCTCAGATGTCTCTGGTTCCCAAGGCGTAGTGTCGGGCCATGCAGGGGGTTGGGGTTATTTATGGTGGCAGGGGGACCCTCTGGAGGGCCTTTCTGGCAGCATGGGGACAAGTGGACTTGGGTGGAGCCGATGCCAGGTCTCACCAGCTGTCAGCAGTTTCTCCTGCATTGCCTGGGTATGAGGGCATGAACTGAGCGTAGGTCTTACCCACTTACTTGGGTTCACATCCCCCAGCTCTGGGGCTCTGAGACCTGAGACAGGTCACATCCCCTCTGGGCTCTGGGTCTCTTACCCACAGCCTGAGGCTAACAGTACTTACCTCAGGAGGGTCAGGAGGGTTCAACTAAGGGCTAAGTTTCAAAAGGGCTCCAGCACCTGCGGCCCTCCCATGCAGACATGGGAGGTGGGAGTTGAGGCTCGTGGCCCCATAGATCTGGGTGGCCCTACAGCAGCCGTATCTCTGCAGCCAAGGCCATTGGCATCTCGGAGCCTGTCAAGGTGCCCTACTCCAAGTTCCTGATGTACCCAGAGGAGCTGTTTGTGGTGGGGCTGCCTGAAGGCATCTCCCTCCGCAGGCCCAACTGCTTCGGGATTGCCAAGCTCCGGAAGATCCTGGAGGCCAGCAACAGCATCCAGTTCGTCATCAAGAGGTAAGGCCCGGCCGGGTCCACGGGAGCCCTTCCAGGCTTGCCCGGCACCCAGGAACAGCGCCAAGTAGCCATCTTCCTCTTCAGACTGGGGAAGGCTTTTTTTAAAAAAAAAAATAGGGCATTCGATGAGGTTTGGCCTCAGTTGAGCAGGCACGAGGTTGCCCAGGCCCAGCCCAGGCCTGAAGGACCTTAAGCAACTAGACTAACGCCCTCTCAGTCCCACGAAAACAGCCCCCAGTTTACCCAGGTGTAGACTGGGAGAACACCCACCAGCTTGATCTCCTGGGTAATTCTGAACATCCTCTGGGCCAGGGGGCATCCAGGCTGAGGACAATGCCCCATGACCCCAGGACTGGAAAATCAGGCATTGGCATTTTGATTCTCTTCTGTTTCCTCGGGCATCTGATTTTTGTCAGCGAGGACCCAGGGAGCTCCAGTGTGTCCAGCCTGTGTGCCGGCTCAGATATAAATTGTCAGCGAGGACCCAGGGAGCTCCAGTGTGTCCAGCCTGTGTGCCGGCTCAGCCTGTGTGCCGGCTCAGATATAAAGTCCCTTTGGAGGAGATGGAGGCAGCTACTAAATTTTTAAAAGATGAGGGAGGACCTGGGGTGAACTGTTTTGTGTTTGTTTTTTTTTTTTTTTGCGGTACGCGGGCGTCTCACTGTGTGGCCTCTCCCGCTGCGGAGCACAGGCTCCGGACGCACAGGCCCAGCGGCCACGGCTCACGGGCCCAGCCGCTCCGCGGCATGTGGGATCCTCCCGGACCGGGGCACAAACTCGCGCCCCCTGCATCGGCAGGCGGACTCCCAACCACTGCACCACCAGGGAAGCCCTGTTTTGTGTTTTTTTTGCTTCTGTGTATTAACGCGATGTCTTATAAATTTACTTTTGGTTTGGTTGGAAGTGACAAGAAAGAGGAGACTCTTAAGGGTTTGTTGTCCCTGGGGGAGTAGATGGCCCCCAAATTGGGAGACTCACAGTGTCCTTCACACCTCGAGTGGCAGGCTGGTGATGGGGTGCGGAGCAGGGAGCTCTCTCGTGGGGCCTGGTTTGCGCCAGGAGAAGCAGAGAGGGTGATGCTCCAGGAGATGCAAATAGTGGACACGTGGTTCCCTCCTTCCACAAATACATCTTGAGTGCCTACCGTGTTCCAGGAGTGACGCAGCAGCAAATGCCACCGAGTCCTGCCCTCGAGTTGGCTGATCTCACGGAATTGAATCACAATATAGTATCAGGTAGAGATAAATGCTATGATGCAGGTTAAAGGGGCAAAGAAGGAGGGGCAGGAGGAACCTGTCCATGGAGGGGACTTTGGAGCAGAGACTTAATGAAGCAAGGTTTGCAAATTATTTGCAGTGGAAGAGCATTGAAGCAGCGGGAACAGCAGGTGCAAAAGCCCTGAGGCAGGGACATCCTTGTGTGTTTGAAGTCTAGCAAGGTGCCATTGTGACTGGTGCAGGGGGAGTGGGGGAAGAGTGAGAGTGGCGAGGCCCAAGAGATAGCAGGAGCTGGATCATACAGGGTCTTAGACTGGTTTAAAGAGTCTAGATTTTATTTCAAATTTAACGAGGACTCACCGGAAGTTTTTGAGGAGGATGGGCAGGGGCAGAAACGGGGACCAGTGAGGAGGCTGTTCCTGGCCCAGGGGACACAGTGGCATCTTGGATTAGGTAAAGGTAGGGGTGGGATGTTGAAAAGTTGTCAGATTCAGACAGTGTTTTGAAGATGAGGCTGGTAGAATTTGCTGATATATGGGATGTGAGTCTGCTGTGTGTTATGTTTGAGGTGCGTGGGGGCCTTCCAGAGAGGGTTGGCAGGTGGATTTACGGGGGTCAGATTCAGGAGAGAGGCCGGGGTGGGGACAGAACATGGGAACCTGTCAGCATTCAGGAGGGACGTAGCACATGGGGACTGCTTGCCTCATCCACCCCCTCAAACTGAGAACTGGAAGCCCTTGGGTGACTCGCAGGCTCCTGGGTCTAAGTCCAGCTCCTCCTGTTACTCCCCCTGACCTTGGGTAGGTTGTTCAGGGCATTAAATGGGGCATACTGTACCAATTATGGGGTGGCCCTGGAGGTCAAGGCTTAGCAAAAGACCTGGCACAGTGTAGGTACTCAATTACGATTTTTTTTTTTTTTTAGTATCAGGTTTATTGAAGTTTAATTTACATTCAGTAAAACTCACCCTTTTAAAATGCACAACTCTTTGATTTTTGGCAAACTCACACTGTCACATCACTACCATCAAGACACAAAACAGTTCCATCACTCCACAAGCTTCTCTTGTGCCCTTTTGTTGGCCACCCCAGACCCTGCGACCTGGTAGTTGATCATTTTTTTGCCATTTTGCCTTTTCCAGAATGTCATATAAATGGAATCATACATTGTGCATCTCGTTGGGTCTGGCTCTTTCACTCAGCTTTTGAGATTCATCCATGTGGTTGCCTGTATCAGGAGTTCATTTAAAATATATATATATATATATAAATTTTAAAAAGTGAATTTAGATAATTCGTTTTCTGAATGCCAAGTGAAGAAAATGATTCAAGTAGGAAAGAGTGATTAACTTTGTCCAGTGGAACAGTTGGGGTATTAGGATTAAGGACCAGTTGGGGTGATTCTAAGAGATAATTGGAGAAGAGAGATGGAGCACTTGAGTATATTTATTTTGTTATTCTTCATTTAAAAAATTAGTCAAAAATACTATTGGGAATATTAGTGAAAAATCGCCACTTCTCATTAATCTTACTTCTAAAAAATATGTATTTGGGGGATGATGTAACTGTTCTGGAATTAGAAGTATGGCTGCATAAACAACTTTGTGAATATACTAAAAACCATTGATGCGTGTACCTTAAAGAGTGAATTACATCTCAATAAAGTATAAATGTGTGTGTGTGTGTGTGTGTGTGTGCGCGTGTGTGTATATATATATATTAGTTGGCCAGAGCAGCCATAACAAAGTACTACAGACTGGGTGGCTTAAACAACAGAAATTTATTTCTTGCAGTTCTGGAGTCTGGAAGTTCAGGGTCAAGGTGTCAGCAGGGTTAGTTTCCCCTGAGGTCTGTCTCCTTGGCTTGCAGACAACCACCTTCTTGCTGAGTCTTCACATAGTCATTCCTCTCTGTCCACACATCCTTGGTATCTCTCTGTGACCTAATCTCCTCTCCCTATGAGGACACTAGTCAGATTGGATTAGGGCCCACCCTAATGTCCTCATGTAAAGACCTTATTTTGAAATACAGTGAGCCTATAAAAAAATATATGAGAAATCAGCACTTGGAGGGATGTCACTGACGGACTGATTTCCACCTAAACCTGAATTCCACGTCCTTCTAAACAGCCTCCAGGCAGCGGCTGCCAGTTGATGAGAGTTGGCACAGAGTCAAATCAAACTTTCTAAATCTTTGATCAAAAAACATTCTTAACCCAGATTCTTGAACAAACATGTATCCAAACTTTTCATATTCTTTTGTGCATTCTTCTGGAAATAGGGTCCCTTGCTTCATCAAATTCTCCAAAGTTAAAACAAACCAACAAAAAAAAAGAACCTTGGGAAATTTAAAACCATGGGTGGATTCACACGGATGGGAGACTGAGGTCCAGGGGAGGAGTGGCAGAAGGTCTGTCTGATTGCAGCGCTGCAGGGCAGTTCTGGTGCCGCCCTCCCAGACTTAGCAGACCCTACGGATTCAGGACACAGTCCCCAGCAAGACCACCCCCACTTCCAACATCAGCTAACGTTCAAAGGTCCCTAGACCACCGACACTCCTGAGCAGCTGGCTGCAAATTCAGGGGTTCCCAGGACCCCTCCCCAAGTTTGATAATTAACTAGCACGACTTACAGGACCCAGGAAAGCACTGTATGACAGTTTTAGAGAAAGGATGCAAATCAGGACCAGCCAAATGAAGAGACATAAGGGACAAAGTCTGGGAGGGACTGGATGTGGAGCTTCCATCCCCTCTTCCTGCGAAATCAGGGCCCATCACCCTCCCAGCACATCAGTGTGTTCACCAACCAGGCAGCTCCATCGACCCCAGTGTCCACACTTCTACTGGAATTCATTGCTAGCCTTCACTGGCTTACTGGCCAAGTGATTGGACTGTCTCTAGCCCCCCTCCCCTCCCTAGAGGTCAAGAGGTCTGGCTGATAACAGTGGCTTGAAGACCAGACAAGCTATATTATACAGCACTGATTCTAAGTGCCCCATTTTTGGTGCAACCTTGTCCAGCTGTAGCAGGCCTGTCTGGGTGGCGGGGGTCTGGGCTGAATGGCAGGCTGAGGGCACTGGGGAGGTCACATTGGCCAGAGGAGGGCTGACAGGGCATGGCGGGTGCAACAGGTACCAGAATCACTCCTTCACATCTCCCGAAGGGAAGGGATGCTGGACCAGGGTTCAGAGTGAGGGTGAGTCTGTAGGTGAGGCTGCCCGGGGAGGTGCTGGGCTTTTCCTCACAGGGGTATCCAAGCAGTGACACAGGAGACCCTGCCTGGGAGTGAGGCCAAAGGCCAGACTCTCAGGGCACCACCCCCTCCATCAAGTGGATGAGGATTTGGTGTCCCTCCTGGCAGCGGGCATCTGTGCCTGACACAGAGCTGGGCTTACAGGGCCAGGGAGGGAGGAGGCACAGCCCTGCCTTAGATCACAGTTTCAGGAGCTGGAAAAGCCCTCAGACTACATTTAGACCCCCCATCACTTCCTCTCTGCCTTCTTATGGGGAAGCGGAAGCCCAGAAAATGTAATGATTTCCCCACAGGCACTGAGCAGGGCTCCCAGGCCAGAGTGCTGTCTGCGGTCCTGTTGTGTCTTCAAGTATGGATTTATGAGGCCCGTTCCCCTCTGAGCCAGGGCAGCGTTATTATTCCATTTCAGATGAGAAAACAGGCCTGGGGTGGGAGGGGTCCCTCAGCGGGAGAGGCTGCAGGCAAGAAGGAGGGGATGCCTAGTTTGAACTCTGCCCCTCTCGCTGTGCGGTCTTGGGCACGTTACTCACCTTCCCGATGCCTCAGTCTCCCATTCCTGCAAGTGGGATGATGGAAACAGTGCCTACCTCAAGGATGTCGGGCGGGTTACCTAATGTGAGTACGGGCTCTGTGGAGTCTGCAGGGATACAGACATTAGTGTAAAGCTGGGTCTGGTCCCCGAGGCCCCGACCCCACAGTGAAATGGTGTCAGCCAGAAACCTTGGACCTTCCCTACACCAGGATCTTGCCACAGTCAGTCCCGACTGTGTCTACAGCTCCGTAGGAAGGCCCCCAGCCCACGTGCTCTGACCCTGGCCAGTGGCAGTTATGCATCCTGGAACCGAGAGTGAGGGGTTCAGCTCCACCGGGCCAGGACCAGGCTGGTTTCGCTCCTGGCTGGATCCTCAGAGCCCAGCGCAGCCCCCAGATCGCACATGTGGGTCAGCAGGACAGCTGCCTGGGAGGCAGAAACCCCAGACCTTGACTGTCCAGAGCCAGGAGCGCCCACTGCACAGATGTGCAGACTGAGGCCCAGGGGGAGAGCTGGGTAGTACCGGGGAGCCCTGGAGGGACCTTGGTGATAGCCCCACTTGTGTTTTGCAGGCCTGAGCTGCTCACCGAAGGAGTCAAAGAGCCCCTCACAGACAGCCAAGGTACCCTGCGCAGGGTCATGGGCCGAGGCGCGGGCCGGGCGTGGGAGGGGTCCCAGGCTTCTGCCATCACCCCTCCTCCTGCTTCCTCTGTCCTGGTCCCGTCTACCCTGGCATCCCCCCATTGCCCTCCCTGCTGGGTTTGCCCCCACCAGATACCACCTCTGTCCCGGGTCCCAGGAGCTGCCTGCTCACCCTGGCTTCTCTCCCCCCCGCCCCCAGAGAGGGATTCCGGGGACCCTCTTGTGGACGAGAGCCTGAAGAGACAGGGCTTTCAAGGTAAGGTTGCAGCTCAGGATGGGGTCCGCAGTCCCAGTGCCATGACCTTGACCTGGCTTGGGTTTGGAGGGCCAGGCTAGGGGTGGGAGGGGCTGGACGCCAACCTCAGGGCCCCGGGGTCTGAGTGAGGCCGGCGGGCAGCCAGGCAGGGCTGGAGTTTGCCAGCCCCAGTGAGAGGCTCCGCAAGGTGGCTGGGGGTTCGGGGGTACAGGGCGCGGGAGCCGGCCTGCTGTCCGTCTGGGGAAGCAGCTGACCTGCCCGCTTCGTTTTAGGCAGCCGGCCGTGCTCTTAGTGCTTTGAAATCAGAGGAGAGGAGGTCACGGAGGGCAGGGAGGGCTCTCCCAAGAAGGAGGACCCTGGTTGGGCCAAGGAGGGGTGGGAGGACGTGAGCGTGGAGGAAGAGGCGTGGAAGATGGGGGAAGCCTGATGCAGGGAGGGGCCAGGGACTGACAGGGGAGGCTCCCTCCCCACAGTGGAGGCTGGTATTACCTTTTGGTTAAGATCAAGTGTAGTATCGGTAGGGGCTGCGGTGGCTGAGAGCAGCCGTCCACGTGCACGTTGGGGCAGCTCTAGGGTGTGGCTGTGAGTCCCCTAGGGTGGGTGCTCCCCGTGTGGGTCCTGGGTGGTCAGTGTGACCCAGAGGAGAAAGTGGGGTCAGCCAGACCAGCGGCAGGAAGGGCCAGCCCCTGTGGGTGGAGGAGCCCAAATCCCAGAGGGGCACCTGCTTACCCCCCAGCCTCTCAACTCCTTCCTGGGCAGCCGGAACTTTCTGGGACGGGGGAGTTCTGTCTCTCACCTCACCCCGTGACCCCTCATACTCAGCCCTCGTAGCAGACTGGGGTCCGACCAGCCAGAGACCCACCCCCTCCCTCCTCCATCCTCCACCTCTCTCTTCCCACAAGGCAGTGCCAGGTTCTCATCTCCCCAAGGCCGGGGGCTTGTCCAGGGGTCTCATGGCAGGTGCTGGCACGCGGGCTCCATAAGCGATAGCCTCTGGGTGAATGAGTGACCACGGGGAGCTTCCAGGCCGGCTCCTGCCTCCGCGGGGCCGCCCTGTCCACTGAGCTCACGTCCCCGCGCTGCCTCCTGCCTCCCGCCTGACTCTGAGCGAGGTCCCACTCCACCCGCCGGTGACGCAGGAGGCTGCTCCCCTCCGTGGAGTCTCTCACCTCCAGGGCTGGCTCACTGGTGTGGGTTTCAAATGTCAACAGTTAATTTCCGACTCATCGCTGTTGTCGCGAGAGTGTGCGTCCTTCCGGAAAAAACACACGTCTCCGTCAAGAAGTTAGTGCTGGAGAACTCCAAGGGGCCCACTCCACGGAGCTGATAATTGCCTGAGAAGGAGTTCCCCATAGTTAGGAAATCGTATTCCTTTAAAGTCACCAAGTGCCTTTTCATTTAACAGCCCAAATCCGTAATTGTTTTTCACTTTGCAGAAAATTATGATGCCAGACTCTCACGGATCGACATTGCCAACACGCTGAGGGAGCAGGTCCAGGATCTGTTCAATAAGAAATACGGTGAGCCCCGGGACACCCTGGCGGGAGGGAAGAGAGGCAGGAGCAACCCGGTTCTGGCCGTGGTCTCCTCTGGGAAGACCGCTCACCTGCATACAAATACGTCTTGAGCACTTACTGTGTGCCAGGCACTGGGGAAAAGGGAGTGAAGAAAACACGCAGTCTCACGGGGACTTCTCTGGCGGTCCAGTGGTTAAGACTCCGTGCTTCCACTGCAGGGGTTGGACCTTGGTCAGGGAACTAAGATCCCTGGTCAGGGAACTAAGATCCCACATGCCAGAAACAAACAGACAAACAAAAAAACCACGCAGTCCCTGCATTCGGGGGACCCTGCAGACCAGTGACGTGAGACCGACATAGAACAGCTCTACCCAGAATCCTGCGACAGTGAGGCGTCGTCCCATGATTATGCAGGAAAAGAGCAGGCTGCTCAAGGGAAAATAGCTCTCCTTAGATTGGAAGCCAGGGAAGGGCTCTTGGAAGAAGGAACTGAACGATGGGGAATCAAGCAGAGTGTGAAGGAAGGGCATTCTGGCTGAGGTGATGGCATGTGCAGAGGCCCTGAGGCTTGTCTTAAGAAGGAGCCAAGGGAATTCCCTGGCGGTCCAGTGGTTAGGACTTGGTGCTTTCGCTGCCGTGGGCCCTGGTCAGGGAACTAAGATCCTGCAAACCATACGGTGCAGCCAAAATATATATATATATATATATATATATATGTATATATGTATATATATATAGACACACACACATATATATATATATACACACACACATATATACACATATATATGTATATATGTAAGTAGATAGATAGATATAGGAAGGAGCCAAAAGCCGAAGCGTAAGGGCAGGCACTGGGGGAGAGGAGGGCCCTGCGGAGCTGGCCAGAAGACAGATGCAATTGTCCAGGGCCTTGGAGGGAACCATGATACCGGGTTTGTATTTTGGGAGGATTGAAGTAAATGGAGCAGTTTTGCACTTTTAAAGTGTCTCCCTGGATGCCGTGAGGAAAGTGAGTGGCTGTGGGAGGGTGGGAGTGGACACTGGGAGACCAGCCCAGGCTGGAGCAGTATTTCGGCGAGAGTGATGATGGCTTGGGCAGGCCCTGGCCGGGATGCTGCAGGAAACCGGATGGAGTGAGATGTGCTTCCGAGGGAGAACCACAGGCGCAGATTGACGGGGCAGCGGGAGGAGTGGAGGCATCCAGCTGCGTCCTGCCTCGAGGAGGACAGGCTGTATCTGTTAAGGTGCTTTTCGGTCTCAAGTAGCAAAACCAAACTGGCTTCAACCGTTAAGGGGGTTAATTGGCTCATGATTCAGTTACTATGACTTCACAACAGATCACCCTAACACGTGGTTGCCTAGAATAGCCATGATCATGTATTATCTCTGAGGGTGTCAGCGAGTCAGGACTTTGGGAGCAAGCCGAGCTGGGGAGCTGTCACTCACGGTCTGTCCTGGGGTTGCAGGCAGAAGGCAGGTGAAGCTGGGGTCATCTGGACGGCATCCTCACTCACATGTCTGACGCCTGGGCTGGGGAAAGAGCTGGTGCTGGAACGGCTGGGCCCCTCAAGCATCTTTCTCAGTTTCTGTGTGACCCCTCTATGTGGGCTTTCTGGCATAGCAACTCCATAGTAGCTGGATTTCCTCCTTGTTGGTCGGGGCTCCTGAGTGTCCTGAGAGAAAGAGCCAGGTGGAAGCCACGTTGCCTGTTATGACCCAGCCTCAGAGGTTGTGCAGTGTCCCCTCTGCCGTACTGCATTGGTCGAGGCAGTTACAAAGTTCCACCCTAGTGTAAGAGGAGAGGATATAGACCCCATCCTCTATGGGGAGTGTCAATGTTACACTATAAGAGGAGCACGTGGGATGGGAGAAAGATTGGTGCAGCTGTCTTTGGACAGTACAGTTAGCCATAACTCAGGAAATCCAGCAGTAGGGTGGCTTTCAGGATTAGCTGGATCCAGCAGCTCAGGGAATGAACTTGGTGTCCTTCCGCTGTGTCAGAATCATCTCAGGCTGACTTCCTGCTTGCTAGCAGGATGACCATGGCAGGTCCAGACATCCCATCCAAGGAGAGAGCTGGCTTTTCCACAGGCTTTCTCAGGAAAGCCTGGTAGTTTCCCAGAATTCCCTGGGCCCTCCCCTGTTTCTCATTGATCCCCATTGAGTCACATGTCCAGTCTTTACCCAATCCCCATGGCAGAGAATGCCATGTGCTCATCGGCTTAGGCCTGGGTTACCCAGACCTGTCACCATGACAAGGGGGAGGAGGGGGGAGCACAGAGCTGCCAGAAACAGGTGGATACCCAAACTGCCAGCCAGGGAGAAGGGGCAGTGCCCTCACTGAGCGGGGAAGTTTGAAGAGGGGAGATGATGGGTTCCATTTGGATATGTTGAGTCTGAAGGGTGAGTGGAGATGTCTCATAGGCAGGCAGAGAGAAAAGTCTGCTGTTCAGGAGAGGTGTCTGGACTGGATGCAAAAATTAGACCACAGGAGCAGAGGAGACACCCCTAGGGGTGCAAAGAGAGCAGAAAGAGGACCCATGCAGAAAGCCAAGGAGCCCTGTGTTTAGAGGTCAAGTCCAGGAAGGGGAGGAGTGGCCAGAAAGGGGAAACCAAGAAAGTGAGGCATCGTGGACACCAAGGTGTTGGATTTTGCCAAAAGAGAGCAAATACCTTCTGGGTTGGGCAACACAGAGACCGTCAATCATTCTAGCAAGAGCCCTTTTGGGGGCAAGGAGTGAGGAAGTAGAGATGGCAGTGTTCCCATTCATGAATTATGGGTATAAGTACATTTCTGTCTGCAGCAAAGTCAGGATAAAGAATTTAAAACAGGCTGGAAATTCATAAAAACAGAACGTGGATTGGTTTGGTTGCCAGGGCACAGAGGGAAGGAGTGAGGCGTGACTGCTAATGGGGATGGGGTTTCTTTTCGGGGTGATGAAGACGCTCTGGAGTTAGATAGTGGTGATGATTTCACAACCTCCTGAGTACGCTAAAAACCACTGGATTGTTTAAGATGGTAAATGTTACGGTACGTGAATTACATCTCAATTAAATAAAGCCAAACAAACAAGCTGAAGCGATGGCACGAAGCCAGGGGTGACATGAAGACTCAGCCATTCTGTACTTGCTAGATGCAGGGCATGCATCAAGCTCTGAGTTTCCCAGGAGCCAGAGCAAAAAGGGAAATGAGGCCAGTTATACCATTCCCAGTGTCCACGAGATAAAAATTAGTTTATTGCCCAGAAAAAGTTCAGCTACTTCTCCTAGTGCAAAGATTTCTGCAGCACATCTTCGTAAAGGGGCATCCTGTGACACTGAGGAGTGTCCAGCCCTCCGTCCAGGAGGGGGATCCCATGGTGCACCCCACCTAAGTCAGAGAGCCATGGACGTTCACATGAGCCTGACAGCAGGCAGCAGACCTTGGCCCAGAGTGGATCAGCAGTGGACTCAGGGCTGCTCCCAGGCTGTGAGACAAGGGACAGTCCCCGGGATGGACATGCCACAGCCCTCTGCAGAGGGGATTGGCGACAGGAATGATGTGGAAAGAGAGCCCTGAGGTCTGAGCCGCACCCTGGCTGGCCTCCCTGCTCCCAGACGCGATCCGCCCTTTCAGGCCAGGCCGATCCTGAACCAGGGTGAGGCAGAGCCTGTGGGGCTGATGGATCGTTGTAGGGAAGGGCCAGCTGTGCCCACCAGGTACCATCCTTGAGACGGCTTTCAGATTCTCAAGCTGTGAGGCCTCTGACGTTGGCCCCTGCCCTGTCCCAGCAGCCACAGCCCCACGTCCCCTGGCCAGTCCTCAGCCTGCCCTGGGCACACGCCCACACCCCCGACCCCCAGGGCCCCTGCTTCCCAGTCCCTCACTGACTGTGCCTTGCTGCAGTGCTACACGACAGCCCCCCACCGTACCCCACTGTGCACGGGGTGTATCACACTCGTGCATGGAGCACCCCCTGGCTGCCGACAGCCCACCAGCCCCGCCTCTGGCTCCTGACACCTCCTCTGTCCCTCTCGTCCGCAGGGGAAGCCTTGGGCATCAAGTACCCGGTCCAGGTCCCCTACAAGAGGATCAAGAGTAACCCCGGCTCGGTGATCATCGAGGGGCTGCCTCCCGGGATCCCTTTCCGAAAGCCCTGCACCTTTGGCTCCCAGAACCTGGAGAGGATCCTTGCGGTGGCTGACAAGATCAAGTTCACTGTCACCAGGTACTCAGGGGAAGGGAGACAGAGAGGAGGCGAGGCTACCACGGGAGGGGGCTCGCACCACAGACCCTTGGCCTTTCCTTCGGGTGGACCTGGCCTCCATGGACAAGGCAGCTCTTCCAGCACCACCCTGGGCCCTGGGGGTTGGAGGAAGGGGGACTGCCGGCCAGCCAGGGTGCAGGGAGCCCCACAGAAGTGAGACTAGCTCCCCTGCCCCGCAGCCACCATAGCGGGGGCAGCCTTCATGGGCCCCGTCTACCTGCTGCGGCACCTGCTCACTGCACTCCCTCATCCCCTGGAAGAGGCGTGGAGCCAGCAGGGCAGAGCCAGCGGGAGACCCTGCTGGGCCTGGTGCACAGCGGCCCTGCCGCATCGTCCCAGGGTCCCCAGGGTCCCGTGCGCACGAAGCGCCGGGCATCTTGTTAAAATGCAGATTCTGCTTCAGCAGGTCTGGGGTGGGTCCCACACATTCCGCACACGCTCCCAGGCCCTCCCCTGACACTCCCGTCTCTGTTTCTCTTCCAGGCCTTTTCAAGGACTCATCCCAAAGCCTGGTAAGAGGTGCCGGCTATGGGGGGGGCCACTTGGCACGGGGGTGGGCCATGGTGCTGGGGGCCAGAGGCCGGAGTGGAGCTCACCGTGGGGCACCGGTTCCAGGGCCCTGGAGCGGGACCCCCGCCCTTCTGTTGTCCCACCTCCCTGGGCTCTGGCCCCAGCAGAGAGGAGGAAGGCCAAGCTGGAGCCTGGCCCCGGTTCCTGGGACAGAGAAAGGGGTGGTGGGGTGGCGCTGGTGACTTCTAAGCCTGGGATGGGGGTTCAGGAGGGAGGGGCCTGGCCGGGTCAGTGCCCCCCACTTTCCCTAATGCAGGGGCCTTGGTGAGCAGTTGAGGGTGATGGGGGTGGGTTCCTAGCCTCAGAGGGAGGGGTGTCTGCAGGGGAGCCTGCGAGCTTGGTGGTGGGATGGGGGTGAGTGCTTACCCGCTTTGTAAAATGCCTCTCCTGGCCCCGTTTCAAGGCATCCACCACCACCCCCACCGTCTCCCGGGCTATGTCCTGGCCCTCCCGAGCCCTGAATGAGCAGGGGCTGTCCCTGCGGGGGGTGGCATGACCACCTGGTCAGCACTCAGGGATGGCCGGGCCTCCACGGAGGCAGCTGCGTACGCAGATCCCAGAGCCTGCGCATGGAGACACGGGGAGGAGCTCTGCCGCCTCTCCCCTGCTCCCGCCCGGAGTCACTGGCAGCCCTGGGCCCTTGGGGAGGCTGCGCTGGGAACAGAGAAAGCCTGCAGGACAGGACTCCAATTTCACAGTCGCGGTCACATCCACTTTACTCCTCACTCACCTCCATGCACCCTGACCCTGCCACCTATAGCTGTTCACTCCCTGCGCCCAGGCCTGGCTCGGTGGGCTTCTGAGGAAGGGGCGACCTGGAGGGGGGCCAGACTCACTGAGGGGGGTAGCAGTGTGGCGGCTGCCGTCGGGCTGCAGGGACCCCAGGGAGGAGGAACAGAGGAAAGGGTGCTTGGGAGGGTTTCCCGGAGAGGAAGGCTCTCGCGGGGCCTCAGGGGAGAGCAGTACTTGGAGGGCCAAGGGGAGAGGGAGGGAGAGGCAGGTGGTCAGCTGGGGAAGCAGCAGGGCTCCAAGGCCTACGCCCAGGGTGGTTTTCCAGAACTCTCAGAGGTGTGAAAGCCGTCAGGTGATGTTAGTAAGGTAGAGATGGTGAAGGTAAGAGCAGCAAAGCGCAGCAGTGGTGGCCCCGGCGGAAACCTTGCCAAGAGATTACTGGGCGTCAGACCCTGTGCTGACCGCTTCACGTGGGTCCGGAGGTCCTTCCTCCTAGGGCTGGGCAGTGGTCTGGGTACCGTGGTTACAGACGGAGGAGTCATCTCGTTTACTCCTCACACCTGAGGCTGGCGCCAGAGCCTGACCTTCAGGGGGAAACTGAGGCTTGCGTTTCAGCAATGTGCCCACGTCACACGGCTAGCCAGTGGCCTGGCCGGCCTCTAGGCCCGTGATCTGTAGCACTTCGCCCCCATGGACAGGTAGGCCTGTGCTTCTGGGGGCTGCAGGACAGAACAAGGTTACGGGGGCTCAGGTGCTCATGAGAACATCACAGGCCCAGGGACCCTCTTCTCATCGGCCATGGGGGGCAGGACACACGTCCCCTGGTGCCACCTGGGGCCCCTGGCCCATCCCTGCTCTGTGACAGGCCACTCAGCCCTCTGTGGACCTGCCTTGCTGCAGGACCGTGGTGGGCGGCCTGTGATCCGCTCGCCTGCCCTGCAGCAGGGGCCCCGTGGCCCTGTCAGCCCTGTGCCACTGAGTCAGCTTCAAGCCACTGCCCGTCCCGACTTCACTTTCTGCCCAGGTTGGTGTCAGAGCCGGGCAGTGTCCGTCCTCTTCCCATGAGCGGCAGCAGGAAGGATGGCCGGGCCTCCCTTTGCTGACGGGGAGGAGAAACACGGCGAGGCAGTCCGTCGGCCTCCCCCTGCACACCCTGTGATCCCCAGCCCCTCCTACCCAGAAGGAAGGGCCCCACGGAGGCCTGAAAATATAGCTGCTCCAGGGGTACGCACATACTTTAACGAGTTTGAAAAGCAAGAAATACACTCGATCGTACGCTGGGCTGTGAGTTCAGCGGTTTGTATATCACCTTTTTTTGTCCCCTTTTTACGGATGAAGAAACTGAGGCCAAGGGAACTTCAATGACTTGCCTTGGACGCCCAACCTGTAGTGGAGGAAGCGTTGGTTCCACACCTGGCTCTCTGTTCCTTCAGGGAGGCCCACTGATGCCAGGCGGGCGGCACGTAATTCAGAGCAGCCCCCAAATAGCGGAGTGTCGGGCTTTGGGGAGAAACACTGGGGGGCGGAGAGGCAGCCAGCAGCCATTGCCCCCTTCTGGGGGGGTGACCTCTTCCACTGACCACGGCTCACCCTCCAGCAAGGGGGCTTTGACAGCTCATCTTCCTGTTCGAACAGCTTCTTGAATCTCAGCCATCACCCCAGGGTGGCCATCCGCCCCCCATTTCTCTGTGCCAGTCTGCCCACCCACCCATCGGCCTTCCCTGTGGCCCCTCTGTGTGCAGAGAGGGCCCTTGGAAATGCTTTCTCTGCCCACGTGGTATGGGAGAGGGTGGCAGGCTGCCTAGAAGAAGAGATGGGCACCTGGCCCTGGCCCCAGGCCTCAGGGATGGGACTGCCAGCGCCTTTCCAGGCATTGGCGCTCTGGGCCGGGTGTCAGCCTGGAGGGACCGGGGCAGATGGGCTGGCAGGCCAGCTGTGTGCTTCCTAACGCCATTTGTCACGCTGGGCTGGGAAGGTGTCCAGACTCACAGGGGCCTCCGAGGGTTCACCAGAGGTCACTGGGTGCTGTTCCTGCCCCAGAAAGGGCTGTTCCCAAACCGTCCATTAGACAGTCGCTGAAGCCTGATGCGGGCCAGCTCCTGGGGTTCCGAGGTGAACTGGAGCAGGTCAGGTCAGGTCTCTGGGGAAGGCGGAACATTGGCAGGTGCCGTAGCCTAGAGAAAGGAAGGCTGTAGCTGTGCGCCTGGAGGGGTGTTAGATGATGTGCTTTGGAACTGGGGGCCGAGGTGGTGGGGGGCCCATGGGAGAGCACAGGCTGGTGCTCAGACAGACCCAGGTTGAAACCCCAGACGCCTCTTACTAACCCTGTGACTCTGGGCTCATTATTTCACATCTCCGAGCCTTCACTTCCTCATCGGTGAGATGGAGATGGTCATGTCTGCCTCCCCGGGTGATCTGAATGAATGAATGGTGGGCATTGGGGGGTGAGCCATGGAGGACGGTTTTCCCCCTGCTGACGCTTGAGAGAGATGTTTGTGAAGCCCTCAGCCCTGGACCAGCTGTGATAGGAAGGGCTCAGCCAATGGGATTGGCAGTTGTTACTGTTATTCCTGGAGGTCGGGAAGGCTTCCTGGAGGAGGTGACATTAAGCTGGGCCTTGGAGTTGAGCAGAAGGGTGTGTGGTTCTAACACAGGGCACAGCCTAAGTGGGGGCGCAGAGTGGGTGTCTGACTAAACCAGGCTCAATCCCAGGGGCCTGAGTGAGTGAGGCCTGGGCGGGGTGCATACCACTGGAAGCTCCTTGCCACCTGGCCAGGCTGCTCCCCAGTTCACCCACCTGCCTGCAGCAGCCCTGAGTTAAATTAGGGACACTGGGCCAGGGGCCAGAGAGGCAGGTGGCTGGGGACGGTCTCTGCCCTCGGCAGCACCAAGTCAAGGTGGGTCTCTCCCCAGACCCAGAGGGGCCCGAGGCTGTGTAAACCCAGGACGGCAAAGGGGCTGTTCATGATATGTTGGGAAAGATCAGTGGTGACTAAGGAAGGAGAGGCCCTCCGCCCAGGTAGCTGGTGTAGCAACAGCTGTAGAACATTCTAGTAGGTCGGGAAACACGAATACATACCCATGGTGGAAATCTGGAAAATACAGAGATCTCACTGCCCAGATGGCTGTTTATTTTTACGATGATACATTTCTTCCAGATTTTTCCCCAAGCTTATTAATTGTATATCTCGTCCTTTCCATAAATTCACACACACACACGCTGAAGCATAAGCATTTTCCCATGTCTTTAAAACACTTTACAATGGTCTGTCATCAGGGTGCATCATAGTTATATAGCAGCCCTGTCCCCCGAGAATGGACATTGGGGCAACTTCTCACACCGTGGATACCTAACACCCGCGTCATGCTGATGATTTGCTGATTACCAAGCCTTCCTGTACCAGCACATTCGATCTCCCCCAATAACCAGTCCTACAGGAAGAAACAGGCTCAGAGAGGTTAAGGAACTCGCTGGAGGTCACACAGCATGTGCCCAGGCTTTCCCCACCCCCGACCTTTCATCCACACTGGGTAGGTCTTTGCTGCCCCCTTCTGGCTATCAGCATCTATAACAGTCCTGCCTGTCTAACCCTTAAGGCTCATAATCCTTTGAGTTCATTTATTTGCACAACAACAACAAAAAGATTATTGAATACCTGTCGTGTGCCAAGCAAGATCTGGGAATACAAAATAGAAAAAAAATCTCTACCCGCCGTGGTGCTTATATTCTAATAGGGGAGACAGGTAAATAAGAGCAAATTGTATCGTATTCAATAGTGACAAGTGCCGTGGAGACACACACAAAGGATGGCACTGTCAAGAGCACAATTTTAGAGAGGCCACCAGAAGCTAAGGCCTGAATGAAGACAGGGTATAAGCCATGTAGAAATCTAGGTCAATGATCAGGGAACTAAGATCCCACATGCCGTGGGGCAACTAAGCCTGCGTGCCACAACTACTGAGCTCGCGCACCTCAACTAGAGCCCCCGTGCCCTGGAGCCCACACACCACAACTAGAGAAGAGAAAACCCACACGCCACAACTAGAGAGAAGCCCGCGCACCACAACAAAGAGCCCGTGCCACAACGAAAGATCCCTTGTGCCTCAGTGAAGATCCCGCGTGCCGCAACTAGGACCCAGTGCAGCCAGAAATAAATTAACTAAACAAATAAATAATAAATAAATGTTTAAAAAAAGAAAGAAATCTAGGTTGAGACATCCAGGGAGAAGAGTTGTCAGTGCAAAGGCCCTGGGGCCCTGGACGTATTTTGAAAGTAGGGCCAAAAGGATTGCTGAGAGTGAATGTGGGGAGGGGGAAAGAGAGAGATCAAGGATGGCATCAAGGGACTTCCCTGGGGGCCCAGTGGTTAGGACTGCACGCTTCCACTGCAGGGGACGTGGGTTTGATCCCTGGTCGGGGAACTAAGATCCCGCAAGCCACGTGGTGTGGCAACAAAAAACCCAGAACAAAACAGGATAGCGTCAAGATTTTGTCCCAAGCAGCTGGAGAGGGAAAGGGAGGTGAGGATCTGAGTGGTGGGCAAATTTGACACCCAAGTGGACAGGTTGGGAAGGCAGCTGGATCTACAAATCAGAGAGAGCCCCACTGAGGGGTATAGCTTAGGGATAGAGCATTTGACTACAGAGAGAGTCCCCCTGGAGACATGCAGTCGGGAGCCATTCTGTATTTCATGCATTTTAGTCATGAAACTGGATCACAGTGGGGTTCAACAGGGATAGTCAGAAGGGGTTCGAGGATGAACCCTGGGGCCCTCCAGCATTTAGAGCTGAGGAGAGACAAGTGAACCCCCAGAGGGTGTGATGTCCTGGAAGCTGAGTGAGAAACTGTTGAAGAAGGAGAGTGATCACCTGGGCCCAGTGCTGCTGCAAGGTCAGGTTCAGACCTGAGATGAGACTGTGGGATGGAGCGCCCAGAGGTCCAGGGATGGCATGGTCAAGAGCAGTTTCGGGGGCTTCCCTGGTGGCGCAGTGGTTAAGAATCCACCTGCCAATTCAGGGGACACAGGTTCAAGCCCTGGTTCGGGAAGATCCCACATGCCGCAGAGCAACTAAGCCCATGCGCCACGACTACTGAGCCTGCACTCTAGAGCCCGCAAACCACAACAACTGAGCCTGCGTGCCACAACTACTGAAGCCCGCGCACCTAGAGCCCGTGCTCCACAACAAGAGAAGCCACCACAATAAGCCCGTGTGTCGCAACAAAGAGTAGCCCCCTCGTCGCAACTAGAGAAAGCCCGCACACAGCAGCGAAGACCCGACACAGCCAAAAATAAATAAATAAATAAAATACATTTATTAAAGAAAAAAAAAAGAGCAGTTTCAGGGAGGGGAGAGGACCTGAGTGGAATCGTGGGCTCAGGGGAGAACAAGAGAAAAGAAATGAACTCATCAGCTGCAGATGATGGCCCTTTAGGGACAGAGGAGAGGTGGGGTGGGAGCTGCAGGGTGAAATGGGATGAGGAGAGGGTTTTAGAGGTTGAACAGTGACAGTGTGATTTTAGAGAAATGGATGACATGGCAGCAGAGAGCGTGGGGAGAGTGGGCAGAGGAGGGACGTCCCCCTGAGAACAGGAGGTAGGGAAGGGGGTGCTGAGAGCACTGCCAGAACCCCTCTGCACACAGGGGGACAGGGGAAGGGTGACTGGGGCGGAGGGAAGATTGTTGGAGTCAGCGTCCTAGAGGGAGGGCTAGAAAGATGGGAAGGGACAGTCTCAGAAGGAAGTATGACCTGGACACCGTGGAGAGGCCACCAATGTTGATGACCAAGGGGTTTGGACATGACTGGAAAGAGGAGAGGAGGTCGAGACAGGGAGGGCCAGGGGCTTGGAAGGCATGTCTACCCGCACGTTGATCCCCAGGAAACAGGACGGATGGCAGCGGTGTGGGTGTCCTGAGCCCCGTGCAAGTTCAGTGCACCCGCAGGCAAAGACCAGTCCTCCCCCTTCCCCAGGAGAACCAGCTCTCCGCAGGTAGGCCACGTGCATCTGGGGGTCTGGGAGAGCTTCCCAGGGAGCTGACGTTCCTCCCCGGGGATGGGGGGGTTGCAGGCTGAGGGGCAGCACTTGCAGAGGTGGGGAGCCCTGAAATGACCATCCTTGTCCAACCCTCGCTGAGTGCCCACGGCGTGCCAGGCCCCAGGCCTTTCCCCCAGAGCCTCATGGGGTCTTCACAGCAGGCCTGCGAGGCAGATGCTGTTTTCATTCCCATTTCGCAGCTAAGCACACTGAGGCTGAAGGAAGCAGTCACATAGGTAACACAGGGCTGAAGTCATACACAGGGCTGTGCCGTTCTGGAGCCTGGGCTGGTTGGGCAGTGGGGGGAAGATCGCAGAAAAAGAATAAGGCCGAATCATGCACGGCCTTGACCTAAACTCAGGCTTTCTCTGGTGGCACTGGAGGCTTTTTCAGTCAAGGAACTGATAGGGTTGGATTTGTATTGTCTTACGATTGCCATGGTAACCACACTTCCACCTACCGAGGTGGGTGGCAGAAGGCAGAACTGGAGCGGCATGGGCTGTGGGACCCAGAGGTGGGTGGGGTTAGGATCTAGAGGTGGCAGTGGGGCGTGAGGAGGGAGAGAGGGCAGAAGGTTCCAGAAGGGTGATGGTGGTGTCCATCCCCAAGGCGGGGTCTGCAGGCCTGTGGGACATCCAGGAACAGTCATGGTGCTGAGAGCCTGCAGGGTGGCGCTGGGGCTGGCCTGGGTGAGCGTGGAGCCAGCAGAGAGGGCCCAGGGCAGAGCCGGGAGCACACCGACCTCCAAGAGACCTTGAGGGAGAGGAGCCTGTGAAGGAACAGAGGAGGTGGAGCCCCAGAAAAGGAGGTGGAGGGATTTGCGGGTAAGAAGCGCTGAGTCAGGCAGCTGTTTGCAAATCTCCCATGAGAGCAGAGTCCTAGGCAACACCAGAGAGATCAAGGAAATGAACATTCTCGAAAGGTTCTCGAGTAGCAGTGGCTTTAAAAAAAAAAAACCAAAAAGCCTTGTAGGTAGTGAGTTCCCCATCACTGGAGGCATCCAAGCAGCCACTCACCTGGAGGCACTGCAGGAGAGGCGGGAGGGGCTTTGCCCGCTGCAGCTACCTTTGGCTTGTGCATCCTGTGCCTGTCTGCCTGGAGCCCCAGCCCTTTAGAACTAGGGAGGGCACAGACGGAGGGGTCTCCCCACGCACTGACTCACTTCCCTCTGCTGCCCGGCTCCAGGCTTCCCCACAGCTGCCCTGCCCCGGCTCCCTTCTGGCCAAACACAGGCTTCCAGCTTCCTCTCCTTTTGGTTTGGTTCTTTGGACCCCAGCAGCTCAGCCCTCCCTGCCAGCTTGGGGGAACTCCCTGGTGAGCAGCAAACCCGCCCACCCCTGGAGCAGGGGCTCCGGGCCCCACAGACAGAGCAGAGCTGCCGACTTCCTGTGTGACTCCAGCAGCAAGTCCGGTTTGCCTGCCTGGGCCTCGCTCTCCCTCTTTGCAAAGTGGGAAGAGTCACACTGGGGCTGCCCCGGGGTGCCCCAGCAGGGCAAGGAAAGGAGGAATAAATGGCCCGTCGTGCGCGGGAGGGGTAAGGCGGAGAGGCCGGCCAGGCCGGAGCGTGGAGGGCCTGGAAGGCCTGGCTTTGCAGCGTGGACTGGACCCTGCAGACCCGGCCTTGGCAAGCTCTTCCGCTGACGTCCCCGAGGCCGGAGCCCGAGCACCCCCGCGGGACAGGGCCGAAGCGCTGCCGGGCCCCAGCTTTACCTAGGAAGCCCCCATTCCAGAGAGTCTCCACTTGAGTTTTCATTCAAGGAACTATGTCAGATTACATTCTGCTGAGAAAATAGATGTTCCCACTCGACCTACTTCCCACCCCCAGCGTTCCCTGAGGCCCAGTTTGAGAAGCTCAGCTGTGGGTGAAGGGTCTGCGGAGGGGGGCGGGGTACAAGGAGGGAACGGCTCCAGCCCCAAATGGTACCTCTTGTCATTGTCCCCACTGGGGCCTCTGCTAGGTCTCTGCGGGGTCTCCTGTCACTCATTGGGTGCTGGGAGGAGTGGGCTTCCCGGAGAAGGGGACCTGAGCCGGGCCTGGGATTGACCTCAGCAGAGGGCATTTGGGGGTGGGGGGAGGGACTGAATAGGAGCTGGAAGGAGTCGCCTGCTGGGTCCTCGGGAGCTGGGTGACCTTGGATGAGTTAACTTACTGTCTGTGACCCTGGATAAGTTAACTTGCTATCTCTGGGCCTCGAGGTCACACGGAGCAGGGACAGCCTTCGTGGTCCACCCCCCGACCCTTGTCACGCACCCCTGCCTCCCTCTCTTCCCTACGCCACCCCCCTCCACCCTTCCAACTCGTAAGAGCTCAAAATAAAACCCTGCTTTCTCAAGTTTCTAAAGATGTCACAGTTCCAGTGCCAGCCACATGTTTCTCCACTTCATTATCTCTGCTTTTCTTTGTTAATTAGGCTCCAGTAATGATCTCACTTCTGCCTTCCCGGGAAGAGCTGGCATCTGCTGGGTGGGGCCTGGAGGCCTTTGTGGGCAGACGCCCGGCTGCCAGGCCCAGAATTGGCCGGCTGCCTCCTTTCCTGCAGGAGGGGAGGCCCCGCCCTTTCCATCTGGGTCGTGGCCGCCCCAGTCTGTCCCTGGGCTGGTCAGTGGTCCCAGCCCTGCCCTCCCTCAGCTCTGCCAGGCGGGGGAAGGGTACCTCAAGGTTCCCAGCGGCTGTTAGACAGGGGGCTTCTCAGGCCCCAGGAGCGAGCGGTGGGGGGGCTCCAGGCTCTTCTGCAACATTCCAGAAAACCTCACCGAAACTAGTTCCCCAGCTGGGACCACCCAAGCCGACAGGAACAACCAACGCCTTTATTTAGGCTAGGATGAGATCAGCTCAGGGTCACCAGGCACTGCGTGCGGAACAGAAGCTCTCTCGCTGGCTGATAAACGCGTCTTTGAGCCACGCAAGTGGAGGCCTGGGGGGTGGGGCACGAAGGATGGCTCAGCGCAC